CTGGTGGAAGCGCAGCAGCAGCAGCAGCGAGTTTACCAGAGAAGAAGAAGAAGCGAGGCAGAGGCGCTCGCTCGTACACGCTTGCATCAATAAAATACACGAGCCGGTGAAAATAAGTGGCTGTAACTATTGCCTCGAAAACGAGGCATGATTCCTATAAATAAACGTGCAAATACAAACGCGCGCGAGTAATAGAAAACGTCTTTTACGAGGCTTAATGGTTGGCAAAAGAGAGAGCAAACCGACTTGTGTGTATGTGTATAGACTTTAATATATACTTAACGTACGTATGAACACGAAGCTCTCGGCGCGAGCGATAATGCGATTTTCAATTATCTGCCAGACGATAAGTAAAACTCGCGAGGCGCGTCTATTATCACATATTATTCGTGCAATTCCTCGAGACCGAGAGAGGCAGAAAAAGTAGCTCTCGCGTATAGAGGCAGAGTTGCGCGTATAGTTGTATGGCTCTGGCCTGCAGCATCGACCGGAACTTGCAAAGCGTCGATGTTAGTGAAAGTTATAATATATCTGCGTACACGCATTTGTTGAAAATTAATGTTTACATAGATACGTGTGCGTATGTGTGCGTGTGTATGTGTAGACGCACGTGACCTATTAACGAGAGCGACCGACAGAGATATACAGAGAGAATTACGTAAACTCTCGATTTTTTTCCCTCTTCTATAATTCTAAATTACATCTCTGTTGGCGACGGGGGAGGGGAGCAAAAAATTCCCATGCGTGCGTTACATATAATGCATAATAACACGGTACAGCGAAGCAGAGAGAAATAATAATATCATTACCCGTGGGTTCCGTGCGAAAAAGTAATAATATTGCGATAAGGATAAAATAGTAATGAAATTACGTAATCGACTGAGTTTTGCTCTTGTGATTCGGAAGACACGAAGTTGCGCGGCCGCCGCGAGTACGTGTCATTTATAGGATTATCGAGCTTTGGAGCAAGCGCGAAATAAGGTAGACGAACTCTCGAGCCTTGTCGAATTATTAATATATATATATACCCTCTCGAGTGTATAGCGAAACACAGCACCTTACCACCGCCGCCGCTGCCGTATAGAGCACTATTGTTGGCCCCGGTGCTGCGCAGCACCTGTGTGTGTTACCTTATGTATATACGTATACACGTCAGGGGGTTTACGCGAGGTCGTTCACTCACTGGGAATTGATTTTCTTTTTTTATTGCCCTCTACACTATGTAATATAAATATATATAGTCCCGCGAGCGTCGCGCGTTACGATGCAAAAAGAAAAAGAAGAGGAAAAATAAAAATAAAAAATAAAACAACGTCGCAGAGGCCGCCGCACCGCAACCGATCAGATATTCCAAAGACGTAATGGCTCTATTACACGCTCGAACGACCAATTAAAAAGACGTCTGTTTGGGTTAAAAATTCGGCGATGTATCTAACTACGCGATGTGTGTTTTTGATACGTATACGCTGTATACATACATAAACATACACACACACACACACACGTGCATGTCAGACGTTTGGAGTCGAGAAAGGGACCGCTCACGAAAACGTGAGCTGCTCGCGCGCTCGGGATGTTTCGTAAGCTTTGACTTCACTACTTTCAAAAAGGTACTTTGCGAGCAAACATTTATATACACACACACGTTATACACATGCATGGCGAAATAGAAAGAGATAGAGAAATGTGCAGTACATTTAGCTCGGAATTTCATCACTGGGTGCACTATGCACTTTTCCTGGTGGCATTTTATTGATGTCACGAAGGGATTTTAATGCGTTTTTTTCTTTCTTTCATTCTCTCTGACTCTCTGTTTTTTAAGTTATGACGGGAATCTATTATCCGAGAAATTCCTTGCTCGATGCTCGTTCCGTAATTTACGGCTCCTGACTCTTCGTACGGTTTGTTTTGGCTGATCATAGTACAGGCATTAAATAGCGAAGCTAGCACTGCACTCTCAGCCGTTACACATGCATACTTTCTCGCTCTTCGTGTATGTACGTATATAATATGAAGCGCACATGTCGGTATTAAAAGCTCGTATAAGGTTTTTGATCTCGAATTAAAGTCAATCACCTGCTCGCGAAGAGAGAGGGGGAAAAAAGACGGCAGGTACTCTATACGTTACTTGCAAGTACAAAAGTAGAGTAAGAGGTGAATGACAAAAAAAAGAAAAGAAAAGAGAAAAAATAAACGAATTTCATCGCTCAGCTGTGCGAGACGAGACTCGAGCAGGCGACGTCGCCTATCGAGTGTCTCTCGAAGCCGCTATATGTCTATGTGTGCCAAACAAGAACCACTTGGCATGCGGCCTCGGCGACGACGACTACGACGACTACGCTTGAAAATGTGTGCAACCCGCGTGCGCATCTCCTAATAATAATACGCGAGACGATTTTTTGTTTTCAATTTCACGCGAGCTCAGACTTTGTCGCGCGCTCGTTCGATGGCTCTTCGCATCCGCGGAAAGGGAGTTCTAGGTAAAAGCGTCGCCGGGCGCGAATGCAATTATAATACGATGATGAAACGCGCGAGGCAGTAGTAGCAGTCGCAGCGACGATACACGACGAGCAAAGTTGACATACCGCTAGCAGTCGAAGGTATTTGGGCCGCGTACGACTTTGCGCGCGCGCGCCGCGGTGTGTCTCTTGTAGTACTACCTCTACCTATATACGTGTGCTGAATCTGTTTCTTCGTCTTCTTCTTCTTCGTTTCTTTTTTTTTTTGTACTCTGATGTCTTCGTCTCGTTCGCACTGCTGCAGCTCCTCCTCCTCCTCCTCCACCGTCGTTGGTCGCGTACGAGAAGGAATTAGTACACACACGGAGTCGCGTCGAGTCGTTTTAAAGCTATCGCGCGTGAAAGGAAAATTAACTCAGGTGAAAAGATGCACGAGGGAGTTTTTAAGCACTCAAAGTGCTATATGTATAATGCTTGTAAATCGCGCGAGTGGTCGTTGAAATTTTGAATGAGTTATTGCGCGCTCGAACGGATTTTTTCCTCTCTCTCTCTCTCCCTCGTTTTTCATTTCTCTCTTTCTCGCGCGCGGAGCGATATATATATCTGTATATGTAGTAGGCATGTTTTGTTTGTTAATATACGCGAGAGCTGTTGAGCTGAGTAAATACGACCTTATAGCAGCGCAGTGAATCATCGTCGTCATCATCATCGTCGTCGTCGTTGTCGTTTGGCTCGTTTGGTTCGTTGTGCGATAGTCGGAAAAATAGCAGAAGAATAAAAAGAAATCCGCGAGCGAGCTCGCGTACATAACGCGCGCTGAAAAGATTGAATTCACTCATGATCGATAAGATTACGTCAATTGCACTTGGTCACTCTCTCCCCCTCCGTCTCTGTCTCTCTCGCGAGGCGCATGGAATCATCGAGATTTTTCCTTTCGCTTTATTGTTTGGCATTCGTATTGTGTTGTGTGTGCGTGTGTGTGTGTGTACATACGATACGAAGATAGGACCGACAACACGAGAACGACGCGCGGGTACAGTCACGGGAAACACGAGACATATTATCACGCGCGTTGTGTTGTTGTTGTCGTTGCTGTTGCGCCGCTGCTGCACCGACGCAACGAGCACATGCAGTCCGTGCGCGCACGCGAAAGAATATATAAAACTCGAGAAAAGATTCTCTTTCCGTAATAAAGCTCGAAGAATAAAAAAAAAAAAAAATAATACCAACGATTCGAGCGTGTGTGTAACGCAACGACCAAGGATATCCTTGCCGCTCACAGGCATATTATACTCCATAGCTGCACACACGGCAACACATGTAATAGCTTATATATATATTTTAAAACGATATTTTAGATCCCCAAGGATCCTTCCTCTCTTATGTTCCTTCTCTCTCTCTCTCGGTTCGGCGGGTATTATTATATATATATAAATACACGAGCTCGCGCGTGCGCGAACTGGTTCCTCGCTGGGCCTCTCGAGCTCGAGTCGTCGTCTCCGATATATTATATATATAGCCTCGTCCTCCCTCTATTATACGTATATAGTCTTCATTGCCTCGCTCGCTCCTCATGCTGCTGCTGCTGCTGCTGCTGCTACGACTCGTTTTCACTCTTGCTTTTATTTTTTTTTTTTCGGTTCTTTTCCTTTCGTTTCGTTTCGCGAGCCTCTCTGGCCATTCTCTGCCCGAAAAAATATACATTTAGAACATGCTGCCGCTGCTGACGAATAACCGACTTTTTATGCATAGCAATATATTGGCTGACGAATCAGCGCAGCAACGGCAGCAGCCAACATATGCATGGGGCGATCAGGAGATTTTGCGCCGCGAGCCCGATCATCCATCTATGTAGACGAATGATATTTGCAAGCATGTATGTAACGTCGTCGCGCTGCTTCGAGGCAATTGTCGAAATCGATTGTGATCCGCGACAGTTATGATGTGTTCGTGCGATATGACTCACGACTCGAGCTCGGCTTTATTACACACACACATACACGGGCGAAGCGCAAACCCACACACACACACACATACAAGTCGCGCACTTACACGTACGTAATAGAGACACAAATTGGCAGTGTAAAGCTCGAAAAGTTTATGCCCCCAAGGTTGACTCGTCGTCGTTTCATAGTATAGGTATAGGAGTGATGTTGCTCCGCGAAATACACACGTTCGATGTACAACGTACGTAATGTGTCATTGACATGTGTGCGCGCATCTCTCTCACGCGGACGAGCCCGAGATATAATACTCGCTCGAAAGGAGCTTTCGCGCGAGGCGTCGCGCGTGCAGGTCCGCGTGTGTGTTATATAGCTGGCGAGCGAGGGGGGGGTAGTAAAACGCCGAGCTACACACGCCCAGGATCGTAGCCGAAAGTTCCATCATTGTTTTTGTTACTTTTTTTCTTATGCTTCGACCCATCGTGCCTGCGTACGTACGAATCGTAAGGGGGGCGGGGGCGAACGGAAAGAAGAGTCTCGAGCGAGCTTGGAAAGAAACAAACGGGCATCGTATATTGTGGTGGCGTAGATGACTTACCCAAAGCTCGGTACCCCAGCAGGTCATGTTTGCTTGGGGCAGCCGGCCGTCCTCGATAGTGCTCGGAATGTCGTCGGCCGTAGTCTGGCAGGCAGCAGCGTTGCAGCTACTAAAGCCGCCGCGCGCCACCTTTCACATGTACATTCAATCAACGACGCACACACTCACGCACCACTCGTTGCTGCTGCTGCTCTTGGCAACAACACGATTCTTTCTGCATTCAGCAACTGCACTGTATATCTCGAGATTATATGCACTTTGTGTGTGTGTGTAGTGGTGTGTTGCAGCACCTCAGAGGGAGCAATTTAATCGAGAGTGCGTAATTAATGCAAGAAAGAGAGACTGCTGCAGGCGAATGATTTTCTGGATTTTTATTTATTTATTTATTATTCGATGCAATTGTTGCTGCTGTCCACTCAAAGAGGCCCCAGAAAGAACACGATTTATTCTCTCTCTCTCTCCCTCTCGTAGCACATATAAATATATATATATCGAGAGCTCTCCTCTCTCGCTCGCTCCTCTTTCGGCGCTTTATAATACAACACACTGCACAGAGGACGAATCGCAGCTCTCGCACGAGAACAGCGAATAACACGCACACACACACGGACACTCACAGTCGAGCGAGAGACACAAAACTGCACACACGACGACGACGGCTGCTGCTGCTGTTACTGCTGCACTATGGAAGAGTACGGGGCAGAAATAATCTCTCGCTTCGCTTTGATAAGGCGCACCACCGAGTAATATAGTCGGTAGTCGGGTCGAGAGACGCGAAAACAGCACTGGCACAAAACAGCACTATATGGAACTCCGGCGAGCAAGCGAGTCTCTCAACACGCACACACGTTCGCGGCACACATACGCTCACCTCACGCACTCGGTTTTATTTCTCTGTTGTTATTATTATATATTATGCTCGGCGGGGACACGACGAGCACTCGGTTGACTCAACCAAGACGACGATTATTGTTATTCATCAACGACACAGCCGCGCGAGAGATGTGTGCTGCTGCAGCGCATTGGGCATGGGTGCTGCTGCACCGTGCGCGACTCCGTTTTTGGCGTTACACACACACACGCGCGCCGCACACACAGACAGCAGGCCAGGGCTATACGACGATGCGAGATATCGTGCGCTGAGCTGCGTCGAACAATATAAAACGCTCTCAACGCGAGCTGACGTTAACTCTCGATGTTCTGCGTGCGACTGAATTGGCACTCGCGCTCGCCGCTGCCAGAGATAGTTCGCTGCCTCGGCTACACGCACACAGACAGGCACACACAAGCTCTATAGTATGTATCGCTCGCTATACATAGGTATATTTATCCGTACGAGGTTCTACCACTTCTTCGCTCGCTTCGCTAAAACGCAACACCGCGCCGCGCCCGAGCTGTATACACGAGCGTAAGCCAGCCCGAGTGAGTGGTATATAGTGATATAGTATATAGTATATGGAGCCCAGCAGCGGAGCGAGTCGCGCGCGCGCCGCGGAAAAGTGAGCGAATCCATGCAACGCACCACCACCACAAACAAACAACAACACACACCGACTGTTACAGTGGCGACGAGCGCTACCTCGCGGATCGATGGCACAGGTGGCTTTGGAATGTCCAGTGCGCCCCGCGACTTTGCCGAATAAACGCATATATTGCGAGATACGCAGCGATGCACGTCGACGACGACGATGACGATCGTATATAGCCACATATAATAACGATGAATGTACATCGAGTTGGGATTCGATCGATGCGTATATTACGATTTTACGAATCGCCTTGCTTCGACACGGAAGCTCGCTCGCTTATCGCGCGGCTTATCGCGTATTATCGATGCATTTGACGATGTGGCGAACGTGTTATCCAATGATAACGGAATTCATCGTTGGTCGCGAGCGTGGAGCTGCGGGACGAGCTCGTTTATCATCGGCAACTCGGAGAGTGTCTTTGCCGCCACCTTGATTCGATCGATCGAATTGATTTTTAAACGTCATCGTTAGAACACGATGCTTTCGTCCGACCAAAAGTAAACACAAACGAATCAAAAATTTCCGAGAACATATTGCGCGTACCTGCTCTACCTTGCTCCGATCACGAGGTAAACTCGTTGACCCGCCTGATCCGATTTGGCTCCGGTGCTACACTCTGGCGACGCCGTTCTGCAATTACCGAGCCGAAAACAAGCATGCCGCACGCGTGTGTTGTGTGGCGGCGCTGCGAGTCGGAAAAACTGCGTGTGGCTCGTTGCAGAAACGAGCGGCGTGTGATTTTGCCACGCGGGTTAGTGTCTAACCATTTCGGTAAGTTGATAGTTGAAATTTTTGTAAACCCAAATGTTGTAACAATTACTGTTCAATTAATTAATTTATATATTTAGGATTAATTTTTTCATTGAATTACGCGTTAAAAGAATTAGCGATTAAAAAACTAAGATAAAAGTAGAGTAAATTAAGTATTGAAGATTGACAAGTTCCTCATTGGTTATAATGGGTTACTTTAACCATTGAAATCTAGGAAATAATCATGTGTTATTTAGATGGATTGTATTTACTCATGATATATTCCATCCTTATCAAATTATAGATTCATTCATTGGTTATTCATGACATTCTCTCAAACATTAACACTTTAGTATTTTCACAAATGTTTAATTGATGGAATTTCTCAATACCCTGCAACTATAGTTATCTCTAGTATTCATTGCACATTATAATGAATTTTATTCACTTTTTCAGATCAAAATGGGTCGACGACCAGCGAGATGGTGAGTGATAATAAAGAAATCTCATTCATTGTTACATATGCCATTGCATTTAGTAACATAAGTAACATAATTTTACTGATTGTGTATTTTTTTTTTCTTACAGTTATCGCTATTGCAAAAACAAACCTTACCCAAAATCACGTTTCTGTCGTGGTGTGCCAGATCCTAAGATCCGCATCTTTGATTTGGGAAAGAAAAAAGCCTCTGTAGAAGATTTCCCTCTTTGTGTCCACTTGGTATCAGATGAATATGAACAACTCAGTTCAGAAGCTCTGGAAGCTGGACGTATTTGCTGCAACAAATACTTGGTCAAAAACTCTGGCAAGGACCAGTTCCACATTAGAATGAGAGTGCATCCTTTCCACGTAATCCGCATAAACAAAATGTTGTCATGCGCCGGAGCTGATAGGTAAGTTCAAACACTATTTTACCCAATCAGTCATATTAAGATCTTCATGAAATAGTTGAATCACAGAAATCTTTTTCAATTGTAATTTCTATCATTGGTTGTAATAGTACACACCAATTATAACAATTAAAGAACTTGAATCACATTTACCATAATAATTATTAATTATTAATAATCATAATTATAAGTAATAATTAAAATACCTCTATATTTACTTTAGGCTTCAAACTGGAATGAGAGGTGCATTTGGTAAACCCCAAGGTACTGTAGCCCGTGTCAATATTGGACAACCTATTATGTCAGTCAGATCTACAGACAGACATAAGGCGTCAGTTATTGAAGCTTTGCGTCGTGCCAAGTTCAAGTTCCCAGGTCGTCAAAAGATCTATGTCTCCAAAAAGTGGGGTTTCACCCGCTACAATCGTGCTGAATACGAAGCCCTAAAGGCAGCTGGACGATTGGCACCTGATGGTTGCAATGTAAAATATTTGCCAGAGCATGGACCTCTGGACCAATGGAAAAAGTACAGAGAAATGCTTGGTTAAAGCAAATAGTTTTAATAAAATAGTTTTAATAAACATAAAAAACTATAAAATTGCAGTTTTTCTTTCTTTACTATTTTCCTTGAATTTAAATTGTCTTAAATGCTTCAGTACTTCATACAAATGGAACCAATGATACTTTTAAAAATGCTATGGAACTAAAAGTTGAATTATCAATAAAAAATAGTTATATAAGAAAAGAGATTGTATAATATGCAAATTAAATGTGATACAACTACAGTTTGTTTTTTGGTAACAATGATCTTAAAGAGTCTGTAAAATATTGGCTTTTATGCACCATCTAAAAAGGCAGAGCACACCGTTACTGAATAGAATTATAATTCAGCCTTCTTTTTATAATAGGAAAAGTATAAATAGTATAAAAGCTGAGTTTTTGTTATAAATTAAATTAACTATAAATCAAAAATTGATTGTTATCTATTGCAATATTGAGTTTCAATTTATCACCGCGCGGATAATTGAATGGTTTTTTAAACATCATCAAACTAATGCAATGAACGCTTTCTTTCAACAAAAATAAATATAAAAGCAAATCAAGCTTTTCCAACAAAATAACTGTCTACCTTGCTCCGGTCACAAAGTAAACTTTTTGACCTATTCCGCTTTGGCTTGATCCGGTGCTACACTCTGGCGCTGCCGGCCTGCAACGGAGCCGAAAACAACCAGACGCATGTGTTGTGGAGGCCAGACCGAGACTGTCTGCCTTGTTACATTACATATATCGTGCGAATTCGAACTTTTTCCCTGACAAAATGTCAATTGTTCGCTTGGGTATTCAATCCTTGATTAATTCGAATCTAAATGGAATCAGAAGGGTAAGTGTGTACGTAAAATTGCATCACCTGTCGCGTTCCGTCTGCTTGTTGCCAAATGATATTCAAACTTGGCATATCTTTTGCAGGTTATAGCCGTGCGAAATATTTCGAAGACCACTTCGAGTTATCAAGAATCTCAACCAAAAGGCGAGGAAGACTTAGTGATCGAAGATCAAGAGAATCCCGAAGACACTGAGCCAAAGGTTCATCCGAGCAGTGACAGGTCGAGGGTAATTCCCGTGGAAACGAGCATTCAATATCTTCACAGTGACGGTATTTACAATTATTACGTGACTTTTCCTTCGCAATTAATCTGTTCCATCTAAACTTTAACAATTGTTATTCGTCACAGCTTACAAGATCACTTACGGAGACGATCCAATTTGGAAGAAGTACAGGAGAAATCATAAAGGTCCTAGAGCTCCTAGAAAAACCAGAAAAACTTGCATCGTAAGTCATTGTTGCATTTATAATTAAATGTTTTTCTGTTCAATGCGGTAATATTAATTTTATATTTCAGCGATATGATGCTTTAGCCACATCCAACCCTTGTCCCATATGCAGGGATGAGTACTTGGTTTTAGATCACAAGAATGTTAAATTGCTCCAACAATTTATTTCGCCTTACAATGGAGAACTATTAAGTTATTCGTAAGCCGTTTTTTCATTAAAATTAGTTCTTTAAATAATTTGATAATTATTTTTGTCATATTTGAAAAATATATTTCATTTTAGAAAAACTGGACTTTGTCAAAAGCAACATCAGAATCTTTTGATTGCTCTCTACAGAGCTAAAGATTATGGAACTATCACATTTGATCTGCCTTACATGAAATACGATTACAAAGAATGGAATCCAAGTAGTGAAAGTCCAGAAGATATAGATTTATACAGAGAAAGAATGCAAGAACTTGTAAAAGAAATTCTCGCAAAAAATGCTATAGAAAGACAAAAAGTTATTGAAGCAGAAAAAGAGGCACAAAATCAAGAAAATAAATTAAATTAATTTCAAGTGAAACTTTACCATTTAAGCTATCTATCACTTTCATTGATAAACATTAAAAATGGATGCCACATTCGTGATTATTGGTGGTGGCATTGCCGGTATATCATGTGCTGAAAGCATAGCATTTCTAGAGCCATCAGAGACAATTATTTTAATAACCGCAAGTCCACTAATCAAAGCTGTTACAAATATTGTACCCCTTGGGAAATTGATAACTCAATTTGATGTGGAGGAGCATTCAATGAAATCTTTGATTGACATGTACCCATCTATCAAAGTTGTTCATGACACTGTAACTCAAGTTAACAAAGATTCAAAAAGTATATCTACAGAGAGTGGAAAAACAATTACTTATAAGAAGTTGTGCATTTGTACTGGAGCAAGGTCAAAGCTAATTTGTGAAAATAATAGTAGAGTTATGGGAATACGAGACACAGAATCAGCTGAGGCCCTAGTAAACAAATTAAAAGATGCCAAAAGAGTTGCTGTTATTGGTAATGGTGGCATTGCAACTGAAGTAGTTCACGAAATTAGGGGTGTTGAAGTTATGTGGATCATAAAAGATAAACATATTTCTGCCACTTTTGTAGATCCAGGAGCTGCAGAATTTTTTCAAGATAGACTATTAAAAAAAGAGCCTTTGGAGAAAAAAGAGCCAATGAAAAGAATGAAGTATACCATAACGAGTGGAAGATCAGATAAAGGTGGACCAGCTCTTGGACCAGACTGGCATGACCAATTGAAATTAGCTGGGTCCAATGCCTTGCCAACATCAGTGAAAATTGAGTATGAAAGTGAAGTAATTAAAATATTGAATGCTTCAGAAGTACCCAACAATAACGAAGAATGGCCCATGTACATAGAACTGAACAATGGCAAAATCATAGGTTGCGATATAATTGTTTCTGCTACTGGAGTTATACCAAATAGCAACATAGTTGGACTAGAAACTTTAAATAAAGGAAATGATGATGGTTTTACTGTCGATTGGAAATTAGAGACCTCAGAAAAAGATATATACGCAGCTGGTGATGTTTGCTCTGCTAATTGGGAAATTGCTCAACATTGGTTTCAAATGAGACTTTGGACTCAAGCGCATCAAATGGGTCGTTATGCCGCTAAAAGTATGGTTTACAGCTTTAAAAATGAGGAATTTATGCAAGATTTTTGTTTTGAGCTTTTTACTCATGTCACGAAATTTTTTGGTTACAAAGTCGTTTTGTTGGGTCTATATAATGGACAAAAATTAAACAATGATTATGAGATTCTGCTAAGAGTTACTAAAGGTCATGAATATGTTAAAATAATTCTTCAAAATGGAAAAATGCAAGGTGCAGTTCTTATTGGTGAAACGGACTTGGAAGAAATGTGCGAAAATTTAATATTAGATCAATTAGATTTGAGTAGCTATGGTGAAGATTTACTGAATCCAGAAATTGATATTGAGGATTATTTTGACTAGTTTTTATGCTGATTAAAATAAAACTCAATTTCTATTTTACGTTTGTACATTTACTTTACGCTATGTGAAATGTAAATAAGTTTTCCTTTATTGTTAACTATTAAAAGTTATTATTGCAATAAAAAAATTATTGTGAAAAATTGAAAATTTCGTTGAACTTGTTTTTATTCTTAAACTTTTTATCATCGGTTATAAAACATCTTAAATTATCTGTAAGCCATTTATATTTATCCTTGTGATGCATCTCTTTTTATCTGTATAGCTATAATGTTAAAATCTTATCGTTATTTTGTAATAAAAAAGACATACAAAAACACTTCCGCCATGTAATACATAAAAATATTGCATTCACTTTTTACGCTTTGTAAAGTTAAGACGTTATTTAAGTATAAAAATCGAGAGTAAAAAAGCAGCTAATACTATTATTAATAGTAATAATGATAAAATCTAATCACTTGTAGTGGTAAGCTATAAACATTTTGTCCTTAAAATGAGATTATGAGATTCAGTACGAATTATAATGAAGAGTAAAAAATATATGATAAAAACATTTTATCATTGAAAAGAGTACTTCTGTCTGCGTGAACCCTTGAACTATCTAAGTACTAATTAGAACTCGAACTTGTTGTCATGCTTCATTTGAAATCAAATCGCACGGACCTCGTCGATCCGGTCGCGTCATCGTTTTTTAGAAATGGACATCCGGTACGTAAATTAGACTTCGTTGGTTGAGGTGCGTTGCTGTCGGGAAAGTACTTTATCGTGGGAGATGGCACTGCGCTATTCATATCGCTCGTTCGACACGAAGTCGAGTTCTCGTGCAATGAGGTATTATTGTCCGGTTGCTCGCCAGTAGAGTCAGAAGCGCTAGTCGTCTCGACTGTACCATTGATATTAAAGCTACTGACTGTGTCGTAACGTTTTTCTTCTAAAGAATCTTGGATATATTTCAATGTATCTCCTATTTTGGATAGAGCTTTCGACACCTTTAAGCTGACGTCTTGAGATTCATATTGATTACAAAGTCCTTTTAAAGTTTTGGAAGCTAGTTCCATTTGAATGATGCATTGATGCATGTCATCACGCCTTTTTTGTACAATAGACTCAGTCGTTTTATCGGCTAATGAATCGTCCAGAAAAGATGCGTCGACGGAAAATTGACTTAAACTTTCGTTCAGCTGTCTTTTTACGGGTGTTATATTTACAGATATACGACTGTCGTAAAGAGAATCGGGAACTATATCGCTGTCTTCGAAAGGCTCCCATTTGTCGTTGGAATCTTGAAGCTCTCTGATTGAATGCTCGAGTTCGTGATCGCGTAACCTATGCATCCAATCTAGGAAGCGCATCGGCTTCCAAAGACTCTCGACCATGTTGTCTTTGTCGCGTACTCGGATTACCGGCTCCAGACCTTTGTCTACGACTATTTGTTGCTGATGAAATTCCTATTGAAAAAGTTCATTATAAATGATTTATCAGGCATTCATAGGTTAATTTGAGCTGATTGAATATACTTACATAATTTACACCGACTTCACGACACGTTTGGGTAGCTTCTCTGACTAATAATTGTATTTCATGCAAACTGATACCACCTGTTTTCATGGCTTCCATACTAGTTTTTATGCTTAAAGCAGTATGGACGTTTGCTGTAGTTCCGTTTAGTATTTCTTCGAGTTCTTGCAAAAAATTGGTTCTATAAGGTGTAATAGCGATTCCGGAATCTTCTATTTCAATTCGTCTAATCTTATTGTTCGTTTCAATTTCACTTGCTAGCAAATCTTTTTCGCGCTCGAGTTCCATCTTTTTACGATTCAAGTCTTCAAGAGCTTGTTTCTGCTCTTCGAGATTTGAGCCAAGTTTTTCAATTTCTTTTTCATATTGCAATTTCTGTGAATCCAATTGCATCTCGACTTCTCGTTTTGCATTTTCCAATTCTTTCATGGCTTTTTGTTTTGATTCCTCTAATTCTGCTCGTAATCTGGAACAAATGTAATTATTAAGTAACCACTGTAGACTCGATTTTTGTACAAAACTTAAAATCATATAATCTTACTTTTCCTCTTGTATTTGGAGAACTTCTTGATAAGCATAATCAAAATCAATTGGAGTAATCGAATCTTGAGAGCCTTTGAAATCTTTTTGTTCTTCTGGATTGCTAACTTTGAAATAATGATTTCCACCGATGACCAATCGATCTCCGTGTTTCAATCGAACTCTCCCCTTAACCAACTAAAAGTAAACAATGAGAACTTATTCAATGTGTTCGTAATGTTGATTTCATGTCACAATTAAAATAGATTAGAATATTTTATTTTACCTCTCCATTAACATAGTTATCTCCATCTTTTTCTGGATAGAACGTCAATTTCCCATGTTTGTTCTCTATGGTGCTGTAAAAACATATAATCAAGTCAATTAAGTCAATTCATTTGTAAAAAAAGGAAGGTAAATAAATAAATAAATAAATTAAAATGAATTAATTAATATTATTAAGAAATGTTATTTCGTATTAAATGAAAAAATTTTTATCATAATGAAAGAATATAAATTATTCAGTAACTATTTTTGAAGAATATAGAAGTTTCAGCGTCAATCTATACATAGTTAACTGAAAGAATAAAGATGAAGTACGTTAAAAATATTACAAGTAAAAATAGGCATTCGGTTAACAGAAATAAAAACTTCAGAGCAAATTTGCATTTCATTAACAATGGTTTTGCAAAACAGTACTTTTTAACTTACATTCGAACAATATCGACTTTTAGAGTTCGGCATTAAAAATTCTTATCAAGACGCAACAAAAAAAACGTAATTCAAATGCAAATTTTCCTCTTTACATGTAACACCACAATCATTTTTTTGATTCAAGCATGAGAAACGTGTGCTTTACACCACGTTTCAAGTGCTTAGCATATAAAAGACGAGAAAAAAAAGCTCAAAGCAGGAAAAATCATTCGATCTCAAGAACACGACCAATTTCTTAAATCCACTGCACAAACATTCCTCGATCGTCACACGCATGCCATAGATGTAGAAAATAATAAAGCAAGCACAGCACAAAATTTTCAGCTAAGTAGCCCTCGCCCTACTCTTCGTCGCGATAAACTAACCAGTGTAGCTGCTTGACGAGTGGCCCATCCAGTACGATATCCAGTTGTTTGGCGGGTGTGCCAGGTCTCGCTGGTCGGCCGATTTTGACGCGACCGACCGGCAAGAGATAGAGCAAAGTGCCCGACAGCATCGGATCGGCAGCTAGATTGATCAAGCATGGTTGAGTATTTTTACGCTGATAGTCCAGTTCGACGGCTATGCCGCAACGGCGCAAATACGCAAGCTCCGTTGCTTTTTTCTCCTGGGCTTCTCGGAGTTTTTCCTCCCATGATCTAGAATACAAGTTGCTTTTACGGTTAAAGGATGTGCGTAGGGTAAAAAAGAAATAAAAGGATCGATAAGGAGCTTGTTTTGTTCGTGTCGTCGTCGGTAATCCGGTCTCGATCTCGTTCGTCTTCTTTCATTAGCAAAGTCAAGAACTTCTTCAGCGCTTCGCAGCGCATAGCTCGTGAAATCGTAAATCTTCGTTAAATTGCACGTTGTATCGAGTTAAGATAATATTGTTAAGATATTTTTTCGATTCGCATTTATATAATCTGTGCATAATATCATCTTATCGAAAATTGAACGCGTAATTTAAAACAATCGATATCGCAACGCAAAATAAATCTGTCGATGTGTGGTAGGTTTCAGAGGGTCGAGTCAAGAGGTGCAGACGCAACAAAAATAACTCACTTCTGATTAAAGAACAGTTGCTCTTCCATTTTTTTCAGTTGATCTTTTAACTGATCGATCTCGCGCTGTTTGTTGACTATCTCCTCGCTGCTATCCGACGCCGTATCAGATGATTCGAGCTTGTTGGACGACAGTCCTAATCTTCTCTGGTAGTCGTCTTGCAGATTCTTCAAACGCTGCACTTCGGCTCTCAATTGTCTGGACAAACAAATGAGCAGTAGAAAAAAAAATAAAAATAAAACATCATCGTAATAACAATCACATAAACGTTTGGCATCGTGCCCATGTTTGAACAGCTGCGCGTTCGATGCTCTTTTTTTTTTTTTAACAGCCCGGCGAACGAAAAAAAATCGCGCCAAAGAACAAATAAGAAGCGAGATAAGTCGAAAGTTTATTTGCTGCTCAGTCTCTCTCACCTTATTGTCCTGTCGTGGGGATCTTCGTTGACTCGGACTCGGTTGACGATGGATCTCGCCTGGCAGGCGTATCTCAGCGTCGCCAGGGTCTCCTCCAGGTGGACGTTGGCCGGTGATATGGTGGCCAACATGGCAGTCCGCGAGTTGCCACCGAGACTCTCCTGGAAGCACAAAAAAAACAAAATGAAATTAGAGATATCCTGAACAAAGAGCATGCCCGAGCAGCGGAGTATTCAGAGCGTTGAACGATTGGATAATTTGCGTGTAATGAAAAATGAGAGAAATTGAAAAAAAAAAATTAATTAATTTTACTTCGCAACCCTCTTTTGACGTTTAAACTCGCATCGTGGGGCGATTAGATGCTATCTTGGGTCGTGTTTTGCGCGTCGGGCCTTTGCATCTTCGAGAGGATCCATTTTGAGAATTTTTTTCTGTAAAACGCGATAACAAACATCGGTATGTTCGAAGTAATTGAAAGTCAACCTCTTTCGTCAGTCCACTCCAAGCAGATGAGATGAGTACGATGGATCATTGTTTTAGTAGCCAACGCCATTGTCGAGTGGAAAATCAATGTAGATAATAATGTCAATGTTGATCGATTGTAGGAAATTTTTTTCATTGATAATTATCTTCACACATTATTAGCTCGATATATCAATTTATTAAAAAATTTTCATGCGTGTACAATTGTACATGCACAAACGTTAGTGGTATGCGAGCGAGCGAGCGAGCGATAACGCATTAGATCATTTTCTCGCGCGCAAAAAAATTCACCGCGAGCAATTAGAAATATTACTTGCGTTTTTCGCGCGAAAAAAAATTCAAGCTCTCGTTACGGACACGTGCCAGATCGACACCTACGATTGATGTACGAAATAGAAAAACTGAAATTCTTCAAATGAATTCGCGCGACGCTAGATCAGTTACGTCAAAATAATTCTTTACTTAATAGGCGCTTGGTATTTAATGAAATCACAAGTGCGCGTAAATATTTTCACGATATCGAAGAGCTTAAATTCATGTCCGTCCCGATCGTCGAAATAAAGTCAAGAAATTTAAACACGTGATACGAATTACGAGTGCAGATATCAGCCGCATAGGAATTTATTACTAAAAAAATACGACGGGAACGACATTATCTCCTCTCCACCTTCCTCTGACGCGTAGGCAGGTGTTTGTATGTGAGCGAGTGAGTGCATGTGCTGTTTATTTTGTTCATTTCTCAACGACTTTGTCAGACTTGAAATTCTGCGGGTTACTTTATGGGCTATAATTAAACACTGTACATCTTTGCAATTATTAGTTCTTTGCTCGCAATCAAACATTCGATTAATCATATATATAATATATTTTCCTCGACAACATTATCGCTTCTTTTGCATATCTCAAACAAAATTCACATGTGCGGGGTTGGGACTCACGCGTCGGGAATGTTGTCTTCGAAATTACTCGGAATAAAATTCACGAGGGAGCGCGTCACATGCTAATGAGTCTCGTTGCAGGAAGACACCGGTTCCCATTATTTACCCTTCGAGTTTAATAATAACGACGAATGCAATCGGTACTTCTTGTCTCATAGCCGAGTCTCGTGCTACGGCCGAAAGTATATATTTATAGAACGACGAGAGCTAAAAATAGAACCAACTTCCTTGAAGTAGGCAGGTAGTAGTTTTCTATTCGACTGAAATTTTGCAAAACGAGACCCAATATTAAAGATAAAAAAAAACCTTGCAAGACTCTCTGTGTATCGCGAAACAATAAAACGATCGTTACGAAACAGCCTCAGTGTCAGTGCTATCGACGCGTGCCTATACTGCATACATGCATAGACGAACACGATTTACTACTTCTGTACATATGCGTGAGTGCGTCGATGCTAAAAAAAAAGAATGGCACTAATTTTTTTTTTTTCATCGTCACGTGCGCGTAATGCACCTATTATGGGCGAATGTCCAATTTATACGAGAGCACGAGGTTTTCGTAGCGTCATATGACCGGCGCTTACTCGTGCGATCGAGGCTCTCGACTTTTGCGGCTAACCGCATTTCGTACTTGTATATTAGCGCGGCTCGCGTGCATTACATACAGTACATATATAGCTCGGCGAACGAAAAATCGTCAACAACGAGTGATGCATTGCACATATACGATGACCTCGCGCGGCGCATGATACACTGCCGCTCGTTGTGTATGTGTATGTGTGTGTATAATATGTTGACGAGTGCAGCGGCGATTGTTTCACCTCATGCTGCATTATGCGCTGTGTATATATACTGCGCATTTATTAAGGGAAAACACGAGCCGTTTGATCTGCGAAAAACAGACTTTGTTTATCGGGCCGAGTGTGTTTTGAATCGCTCGGCGGAAGATGAATAAAATTAGATGCAATGGCGCGCTTCATCATCGGTCAGTGGATTATTACGTCGCTGTACAGCGAGCCGATGAATCTGTAACTCGTAGCTTATTCGTCCAGTAAAACTCGAATATTTTGATCGGCTCGTGTTACGAAAGAAGAGAGTGAAAATCACACATAAAACTTATCGAATTTACGATAAGTAACACATGTAAAATAAGTGCGCATTGCTCAAGTCCGATTCTCGTAATCAAATTAGCGGCTCATCTGGACTGACACATGGCCTTGTTGCGCCTCTTTTGTTGTCTCCTCCTAAACAGATCGAAAACTTGAGATACAATGTAGGGTACGAGGTTTGGGCGGGTTATAAGAGTCAAAAATTAAATCGACATTTGATATCGGGAAGATTTCGATCTAACGCGTGGCCGATGTGACTCTCTGATCTGCGATACGAACAAAAGTATGCCTGACGCGCGTCGTATATACGACCAAAGCCCAAGATCGATCGAATCGCTGGAAAATATTATTCTACAATAAAAATAATTATCAAAGCATAAAGCGCGCGAGATAATGGTGAAATTTACGGATTTTGAAATTGACTCCGTAAAAGAGAAATAACGTATTTGCCATCAAAAACCCATGCGCAGTCGAGCGAGTATACGGCGGCAAACGTCGCCGATTACAAAAATGAGACTTTTGCGCGGCTCAAGGGTACGTGTGCAGGGGAAAAGTGAATTCACTCTTTATACGCGGCGCAGGCTTACGGGTTGTAAGTCACGTAGGCCAGCCGTCGCATATAACGTCTCGACGCCATGCGTGAAAAACAGAGAGAGAGAAAAGAGAGTAAGAGGGATCGGATCGGAGAACGTAAAAGGCCTGCATGTCAGCCGTCTTACACGTTGGATTTTCACGCGTGTGTGTGTGTGTCGAGTGTTTTACTGTGTATGTACCGTATTCCACTGTGTTGGTGTACGTGCGCGCGCGCACACAGAGCGAGCTGGCAGAGAGCTGCTGGCCGCCCCACCACCGCCGCTCCAATCGGACGCGCGTCTGCGTCTGTCTGTATGTACTCCGTGCGTTTTAGCCGCGGCATAATAACAAGCCCCCCGTCGTCGTTTCATCAGTTGAAACGAAGAAGCGTGTTGTGCGTACAGCGAAATTCTGAGGCCACCGAGTGGAGGGATCTTAGTTTTCAACCACCAACGCACCGCAACGGTACACCCGAGTCCTCAAGGACGTTATATTCGGAGAGCAGTATACAATCGGTACTATACGCATCTACTGCCTGCTTTTCCAGTGCAGCGCAAGTGCAGCGATACGAATACAAATAAAAGCAACGAAAAGGAAGCCAGAGCAGCTCAGTACTACTCGTGCAGTGTTTATCGTAACGACTCCGTCTGTATATAAGAAGGGACATCGACGACACAAGCGTGTAACGTGACGAATAAGCGCAGCATCCCAGATACACAGCAGCAGCAGCAGCAGCCGCTCTCGACGTCCTAAAAACAGTGCATCGCTATTCCGACACAATAAACAAGGCAAAATGGATCTTGTTTACATCCCGGAAATTTTGATTCACGGCTCGTTCCGCAATCCAGCCGCTCGGGACTACGAGATGCCCTGGAACGAGAATTACTTCACGCAAAGTAAATATCATCATCATTAAAAATTTCTCTTCTCGTCACGCCTCGTGCTCAATCCCACCAAAGAAAATAACCTTTCCAATTTATATGTACAAAAAATAAACGAGCCTACACGGATACTGCGTCACAAAACGTGGCACGGGTCACGTCGTGCCCCATTCATATATATCCTGCGTACACATGCACACGCGTATACAGTATTATGTATAGTGAAATGAGCAGTACTCGCCGAGCGCGAGTTACGTATATACGAGTATTGTACAGTGTCTGTGTTCACACCTACGCACCCACACAGTCGCATCGTAGGGTCGAGCCTCTTTCCGACTGTACCACGATGTATATAGTAATGTGCTCGTTCTCGCTCGCTCGCTCGCTCGCGTTGCTTGCAGCACATGCAGTTTTATTTTTAGACCTCGGACTTGTTTTTCGCCGACTTAAAGAGGTCTACCGCGAGAGAATGTCGCTCTCTCGCAACCGCCTTTATAGCTACAATAACGCATACGTATAAATATCGCCTTTCTGCACACGCACACACACTGCTCTCTCGGGCTATACATTAAAGCACGCATTGAAAAGTTCGATTCATGCGCTCGCGTTTATTTTTAATGCTCGATATATCGTACGACCGCAGGGTCATTATTGAGTTCAGCGATGATCGGTAAATAAAATTGAATTGAATCGAGTGCAAAGCCTCCAAAACATACTTTTACGAAATTAATGGTCAATTGTTTTGCAGTAAGACAAAACAAAAATTTAAAAGTATCGATAAAAAAACCTTTCAATTTTTCTTTTCAAATTTCAAATTAATTACGCTCAACTTTGCATTCAAAATTATACTATACAATGCGATTGTTTCGTGTGTGCGGAGCGTCTTGTTGATATTTTAAAGCGCGTGAACACGACGAGTACGTAATACGCACACCAGCACACGCGCAGAATCGTATAATAATGCACGACGATAACACAGATGCTGTGTATGTCGCTACTATAACCCACACACACACCCACACAGTTCAGATTTGTATACGTGTATCGCGTTCACCGAGTGCGTTCGTACCCGAGAGCAACACATGCGCGCCTGTTTACAAAGTTGTGCACGTTTCTCCGTCTCGCTCTCGCGCGCACATCGAACACACGACGGCCAATTCTAGTACGTTTATATCGATCGAGAATCGCACTTTTAAAAACAAGTAAACATTGGAGCAGCTTGCATCGCGCCCTTGGACCGCGGAGGGTCGGAGGGGGCAAAATCGTACGTGTACGAGAAAGAGAGAACTCCGTTTACGATTGGATTCGAGATATTAAAAAAAAACAATAAATACTGTTTTTTTTTTTTTTTTTTAATAAATACGTGCAAAATTTACAATCTGTATAAATGTTTCATTTTGTTTAACTCGATCGCTCTTTCTATTTATTGCTGTTGATAAAATAAAAAAAAAATCGTCCAATTGCGCGCATTTTTGCGATAAGATACACACAAAGTCGCTCATACATGGACTCGTGCGCGAGTTCTTAAAAAAAAGAAAAAAAAGAGAAAAAAAGGATAATTCGCCGAGTACGAGATCTTATATTTTAAAACTTGCGAAAGAGAAGAGAGCTCCGATAACGTATCGCCGTGCATTTTCAGCTCGCCGTATACATTCGATACGTGTATCGGAATGATTTTTCTCTACCACCGGTCACGAAACCGTATTGTATATTATCTCTCCTTGCTCGCGCGGGTGCATATACGATACCCGTAAGTGCTAATACGCGCGATATTCAATACGCATAAACCGCAAGTTAGCGAGTCCGAATCTCGTTGGTTCGATTATCGACCGATTCCACCCACTCGAGCGTGATCCGATGTGCGCGTCTTTTTTGCCGCGATTGTATGCGCTTATGTGTGGTCGAGCCTTTTTTGGTCGTCAATTTTTTTTCTTCTTCACATAATTCATCGATAAACGACGTCGGAAAACACATCATCGCGATCGCGTGAATCATCGATTAACAATCATTAATTCAAAACGTTGGACGCGCGACTGCCTCGATGCACATGTTCTCTCTCTCTCTCTCTCTCTCTCTCTCTCTCTGTACGTCGCGTGAATTGACTCACAGATGTTAAATAAATTACGGAATCCATCGAAAACAAAGCTGATAATGACGATAAAAGACAAACACACAGACACGCCGGCTTTATGGGACGAATAACTCGTTCGCGATTCACGTCGAACAATAACGCCACGACGCACGATAATTCCGGTCTGCTGACAAAAGATGCTATATACGCGCGAATAATAGACGCATTTCGTCCGTATAATTATCTTTTGCAATTGCACACGGAGTAGAGAGCCCGGAGTATCATTACGTGTGCAATCATCGGGATCGTGCGCGGAATGCGTTGTAAAGTTCTCCGTGTGTCCACACTGCAACACTTGTGTACTCGGTGCGCGGTGCACGACATGGAGAGCAAAAGTGGCATTTAACATCCATGACCTTATTTCGCGGGTACTACTGCTACTGCCCGCACTGCAGCGTACAACTACGCAGCAGCTTTCCCTCCAGTTTCGCGTTCTATATGTTGCACGCGTCGCGGCTCCAGCTGTAGCCGAGCTACGCGCGATCGAATCGATATTATTACACGCGGATGTAACGCAATACTTGAGGCTCCTTCGAAGCTCGCATATGTACTGCAATGGATGTCTAATTTTTTCTTCTCTCTCGTTTCGCAGACAAAAAATACGCACCGCAGCCGAAGCTGACGGCGGAGCAGAGGCACCACCAGATGAAGATGCTGCAGGCCAAGCCTCCGGCGAAGAAGGTCAAGTGCGACCTGTGCAAGGAGGCAAAACGGCGCAGCTTGGCCACCTACATCAGGGGCAAGTCGCGCAACAGCAGCTGCGGCAACATCTGCGAGGAGCAAGAGGAGGAAGAGGAGATCGAGGAATCCCAACAGCAACAACAGAACGAGCAGCAACAAAAGACACAGCTGGCGGCGAAAGACACGCAGAGCGCAAAGTGCGCCAAGCAAAAGGCGTGAAGCGACGACGACGTCGACGGCGCGAGGAGAAAGAGCAACAATAACAGCAGCCACAGCAACAATAACAACAACAAAAGAGCGCGCGTCTCGTCGTTACCTGCCTCCGCGGCGCGAGCGAGCGGAAAATTTTCCCGCCGCCGCGGCCGCTTCCTCCACAGTTCCGAGATATTTATTATTGTTATTACTATTGCAAAAGCACATGCCGCTGCGTGTGCACTTCCAGAACCAACGTCCTCTTATCCGTATCTCTGACGAATGACGATGATGAATATGGTGTTTTTGTACATACAACATAATGGCGCGCGCGCGCGCACCCAACTTCCCTCCCGTACAGTGTTCTATATAATACCGTATCGTTTTCTTCTTTTTTTTTCGCTCGCCTCTTTCTGTCCTTTACGATATTATTATTCTCTTTTTAGCCTTGATAAGACTGATTGTATAACGCGCTTTGAGAGCTCAACGAAAATCTCTGTTACGGCCTTTTAGCGGGGGCCTCGAGTTGAGGAACAAAGCGAGTTTGTTAGACTCGTAAGTTTGATGTAGATTTTAAGATTTTTTTATATATAATATTATATTATATTATATGCGTACATAAGAGGAAGCTTCGATGTAGATACAAAATCATTTCAATGTGTTCGTTTCTTTCGATGTACAAATTTTGTCAAACTGTCGCGGCTCTTTTCGCTCATAACGGAGAAAACAAAAATACCGAAAGTTTAATTATCGATTGTAAAAAGTAACAGCATTGCGTACGAAATATTTTCTGCCTGCGAATAATAAAACTTTCTCACTGTCGTCTTTTACACCGACTTTATTTTTAAAATTATTGTGAACACGCGTTATATGTACTACGAGCATGTGCGTTTGATTAATTAATACTGCCTGTTTCGATGAAGAAAAAAAACGTAGTCATTTTCGGTTGATTATAATCGTTGTGTGTACATATTACGAAAAAGCTCGATGGATTTGCGTACGAGATATCCCGGAAGCTCTATAAGTGTACTGAACTGCAGATATTTTAATGAACCGTTAAAAATCTATGTACAGTGTTTACATCTCTATTATGGGAAAAATGCATAGTTTTATACCTTGTACTTTTTAAGCTGTTGACAAATTACAAAAACAACTTCGTCTAATTAATGATGTATTTTGAATCATAGTAGACATAATTGAATCTAAGATTATATTATTGTATGTGTAAATTATAAGTACTAAAAGATACAATTATATGTATTTATATAAGAGAGATATAAAGAAAGTAAAAGAATGATTACAAATAATAAATAAACGTCTGTGCTTTTATTTTACCCACTAAAAATCTAAAAAATTCACTTCATGGCGTAGAAGCGTCGAGAATTACAGCCAACCGTAACGATAGCGACTTTACCGCAAAAGAGGAAGGAAAAAATTTGATAGCGGTGTATGGTTTTTTGAATTTCCTGCCCGTCGAAGCGTGGTCGGGGCTCTACAACGCATGCGCTACAATTTGCACACGACACCAATAACTTTTCATTCGAATTTAAACGACTATAGCGTGTTTTTTGGAGTTCACGGTGGTTTTTTCGATCGATTTTTCATTAAAAATACACAATTATTAGTGAACATTGAATTTTTGAATAATTGCAGTTTTGAATTGGGTGAAAATTCTTTGAACGAAAGGAGGAGAACATTCGAGAGCAAATAAGTGCCGAGTGCAATTGCGCGCAGACTCGCTCTGCGACTATTACAGCCATTTCGACTACGCCTCAAGGAGTTTCGAATCTGACCTCAGAGAAGAGATACGCGCAAGAGCTTATTTCAGCAAAAAGTATAATTATCGAGCACTAAGATGGTGTGGAAGATCATCAAAGAAAAATGCCATCTGCATGGCAAACACAGCAGTAAGTTTTCCTTATTTTCGTCGATTGATACGCAGAATCTAAAAATAGCCCGCAGAGGAGCGATCGTTGACGTGTGATTTTAAATTTTCCCGCAGGCAAGAGCAACAGCAGCGACGAGAATAAGCCGAAGTCGTGCGGCAACGGTTGCTGCAAATGCGGCGAGGGTTGCAAAAGATGTGGAGACAAGTGCAAATGTTCCACTAGGACGATCTACATACGCTCGCCCATGTTCACTTATTATACGGATACTATGCATTAATGAGACGAGAACCACAAAAATTTTTCGATCAAAAACTCCCGTCACCATTATTATTATATAAAAGTTCTTTATCAGTAAATTCGAGGTATTTCAAGTTTATAAATTTAGAACTCACCTTGAGAAGCCACGTTAGAACAGATTCGCGATACGGTACAAAATTACGTCTTTTTTCACTTGTACCTTCCGAAAGAGATCCTATTACCTTGCCTAGAGTTAACAATGACTTGTTGATAGATACGCCTTCCTGTTGATAATTAATAGTGTTTGAATGTGATGCTACAATGCTTCAATAAAATTTAACATAATTTTTATAGAAAATTTGTTTAACTTACTCTCAACCTTTCTCCACTAGCTCCTGTACTACTTAATCTTTCACTACCAGCCAAATCAACTAGGTTTATTTTACTGCGACGACTAGCATCACCTGTTTTACTGTTTGCTACTGCTTTTGACTCTTTAGTCTGAGTCAAAATTATACTAAAAATACTGTGAGATCTGGAGCTTTTCTCATTCATTCCAGTTGCTGCAGTGGCACGTTGTGAATTACCTACTCTTAGCCAAGCCTATAAATTCGTGAAACATAATTTTTATTAGTACTTGATATACGTTTTGATCATTGATTTCATAACTGACCTTCAAATCGTCATAATTCTGAACAATGTGCTGACTTAGATCTACAATGTATGGACCTAAAGTAGGATGCTCTCGAACTTTCAGCGGTGCTCTTTTAGCTCCATTACTATTACTTATAAGTAAATCATGTATTTTTTCATTGTAAATCTCAAAATAACTTATTTCAACTGTAGTTTTATTTTTATGATCCAGTGCAATCCGTGAAAAAATTTCATGGCAAAATCTTGGTATGATGCCAGTGCCAGGATGAATTTCAGACTCGTCAGTTTGTACAAGGTCAGCTCCCATCATGCTGTAACTTTTACCAGATCCTGTTTGACCATAAGCAAAAAGGCACACATTGTACCCTTCAAATGCATTTTGAACTAATGGAAGGGCAATGGTATTGAACACAGCTTCTTGGGTAGCACTTCCTCTAGCAGTAGGATCATTTCGAGAAATAAAGCAATGATCATATGAAAAAGTATGTTGAGATGTATCACAATCTACAATTACACTTTGTTCACTAACATCAACAATAGACATAATCTTTGGTTCCATTTGTTCCCTAGAATTTTAAAAAGTTTAAATTTTAATCAAAAGTTCTTGAAAATCAAAAAATTTGAGGTATAAAAATACTCACTTAAAACTTAAAGGTCTTACTCTAATGCCTACAGTCAAATTACTATTTTCTCCTTCAGCATTTGTTTGTTCTTCCATGGTGTTTTCAGTTTTAGCTCTAGGGGTTTCTAAATGGACTGGATTATAACAATCTGGAGTCTGAGGCAAGGTAGTTTCACTAAAGTAACGTTTTGGCTTGAGTGCAGAATTAGATGCTGATCTTGGATGGTAATTTTTGGGCGTACAAAAGTGTGTAACTGGTGTTTTATCGCCAGAAAGTCTGGGATTGGAAGTATTTTTATTACTACTTTTGAGTTTTTCATCAGAGGGAAACTTGGTTGAAGTTGCAGACAGTTGACTCTGATTTGACACAGTTATATCTGAGGACGACCGTACAAAGTTCTTATTTGAACTTTTTGGCGTCCTATTGTAGGATTTCAACCCTACATTTTTATTGTTACTCGTCACCTGCTCCTTGGACTTGTTGATAGGCAAGTAATTGATAAGATTCCTCTTGCATGTGGGCGAACCCCGGCTCGTATTTCCGGACACATTGGTCGGAGTATCACTGTAAATAATACGAAGATTCGTCATTGAGCCGGTAAAAACGTCCAAATTCATATGCAATGCAGCTGGCAGTCAATAAGCCAAGAGATGCAGCCACGTAAATATTATGTCGCATCGTCTCGAAAAATTGTAAAGAAAAAAAACAAAATGTAACAGAAGAAACTAAGCATCAAGAACTCACCTAGCCTTAAACGAGGGTGGGTTATTCTCTTTGTTGAAATTAACAGGCGCAGAGAAGATAGCATTGCAAAAACCGTGCTGCTTCGCACTCTCCCCCGAGGTATTGTTCGCTCGTGACATGTTACGACAGCGTTCCATAGATGAAGCGTTATTATGATAGAAGCGAAGAAATTATTGTCGCATGTAAGCCAGTTTTTTAATGTTTTTTTGTACTATCTAGGCAGAAAAATAAACGTTGTTAAGGCACTAGAACAGCCACTCATCTGTCAATAGGCAGGAGAGTTGCGATTTAAATATAACCTTTCGTTGCGCTTTTCCTTGCCGGACGACTTTTCGACTTGACACTTTCTCGGCCGTGAATTCATTTGTTTTCTCGTTGGCGCCAAAAAAAGAGGGAAAAAAGAGAAACCCACGTTTTACACTCGCTCCAAGCGGGGACTGTATCTTTCATTCACTTTTGTCTCGCACAGTCTATAAGTTTAGGCACCAAAATAATGAATAAATATATAGTATAAACACAACACGGTCAGGCGTGCGAGTCACGCATCTGGGGAGTAGAGTACGAATTGTGAAGCGCGATGCAAAACACGTAGTATCCCGCCCTGCCAAACGTAACGGCTTCTGTCGCATTCGAAAATTCGAAAGCGCCGAATTGCAGCTGCCGTTCGAGTCGACTCTGACATGCCGCTCGTTCGTTCCGTTCAGCGGGTGGCCGGTTTTCCGTTGGAAGGTCGCGCTCGATTGGTCGAGTGTTCTCCGGCCGAGGCGCACCATTCGTGCAGTTTTAACGTGTAGTGGCACGAAGCGCCGTTTGAATATTAATATGGCCGCCCTTTGCGGGTGCCACGACGATTTTGAATGCAGCATCGCGCGTAAGTAAAATAAAATTCTATGTTACACGGTTGTTATTAATTTTTTTTATTCATCAGATGGTTTTAAAAAATTTATCGCATAATTTTTCCAAAATACCATTATACACCCTTATCGACGTCATCGCAGCGCATCGCATTCGGTCGATGACGCTGTAAATAAAAAATTAGTTCGCTTGCTCGAGAGAAAGAAATATAATATTTACACGTTTGCAGCGCGATTATTACTGCGAGACGTGAGACGTGGACAAAGGCCGACAATCAATATTATGACTTACACGAGCGCTTCGCTGATAACAGACTATCGTAATGTCAATTTGCCATTCGTCGTCGCTTAGCTCGAAGCGTGTTGGGTGTCAGTTACTCAGGCGTCGATCGAGACATTGAATTTCTTAGGACTTTCATAAACAATCCTCGTCGATTCGATTATTCCAGCTGCCCCTTTGCATTTGAATTAATAGCATTAGTTTTCGAGTTACAATCTCTAATGCTTCTATATGCTGTATCTTTCGAGCCTTTGAAAAGCCGCTCCAGGAGCGCCACCGTCTAACGATAGTGAAAGTAGATGACTCCACATTGATATCCGAGCCTCATATACGTGTGTAACACGTAACGTGTTGCTGGTTGATACTTGCTGGCAGTGTACAGTGTACATCCAACCGTGTAGACCAGGTTTATATCCTAAACTAAATATACACGTGCACACACATGTGTGTTCGTCCGCATACACACATAAGAGTAATTCGATTTTTTGCACCAAGCGCACAAAATCACACAGTGACATCATGATTGGTCGTTCATTAGCCGTGCAGGTGGCCAAGTCCTGCACGTTGTTTGCTCTAACTGCTGCTCTTTTGCTCCTTTTGGCCCACTCGGTGTCAGAGACACGAGCTCACGGCGCCCACGACGCCCACGACGCCCACGACGACCACCATCACCACCGTATAACTCTTCAAGATCTTGAAGCCGAGGAGCCACCGAGTTTCAAGTATTCGAGAGAAGCCAATAATGTGTATGGTGATATAAATAAGGAGCATATAATTGTGAAAAAAGCTAAAGTTGTGTGGGAAGAATCGGCGGAACAACGCTATCGTCAGCTTAATCCCCACGATGGTAGAGAGCATACAGAAATTCCTGCAGTGCACCATGATGAAACTCCTCACTGGAGACCTCTCCTCGATTACCTGGACCACAAAGGTGATGTTTTCGTGCAAGCCATGGGATCTACTTTACTCATATCGGCTGCTCCCTTCATGATATTGTTCTTTGTGCCGTTGGATAATTCAAAAGAAAGAGAGCCTCTGCTAAAGATTTTACTCAGCTTTGCATCTGGTGGTTTGTTGGGTGATGCGTTCTTGCATCTTATTCCACATGCTCTACCTCACCACGATCATCATGATCATCATGATCATCATGATCATTTTGATCATCATTATCATCACGATTACCATGGAAAAGAAAAAAGCCATCATCACGATCACCATGGAAAAGAAAGTAGCCATCATCACCACAATATGTCTGTCGGACTTTGTATTCTTGGAGGTATTCTTACGTTCCTAATAGTAGAGAAAATTGTTAGACTTATTAAAGGTGATCATCATCACCATCATGCTCCTGCACCTGTATCTGTACCTGATGTTAAAAATGATAATAAACTAAAGAAGAATGACCAAAAAGGCAAGAAAGAAAATGCCAAAAAGAATGAAGATAAGCAAGTGTGTGAAAATGAGTCTGGTGATATAAAAGTAGCTGGCTATCTTAATTTGGCCGCTGATTTCTTGCACAACTTTACTGATGGCTTGGCGATCGGTGCAAGTTATTTGGCTGGAAATAGTATTGGATACGTCACTACTTTTACAATTTTATTACATGAAGTTCCTCATGAAATTGGAGATTTTGCTATTCTTGTGCAAAGTGGTTGCAGCAAGAAAAAAGTAAGTATTGCATATTTTTAACTATCTATTTTCATTTTACAATTATTTTATTCATATGATCATTTTTTCAGGCAATGATGCTTCAACTGATTACTGCCCTTGGTGCTTTATTGGGAACCTATATTTCATTGCTAGTTGGTGGAATGGGTAAGTACACAATTTTCATTGAAAAAATAATCTTTGATTAAATCAACTTACTTTAAAATAACAATACTTGTTTTGCAGGAGACTTAGCCACTGGATGGATTCTTCCTTTTACTGCTGGTGGATTTATTTACATTGCTACAGTATCTGTGATTCCTGAACTCTTGGCTGATACCAGCTTTTGGCAATCGGTTAAAGAAATCTTTGCTCTTATTGTTGGTGTATACATGATGGTACTCGTTGCAGAGTATGAATAAATGAACCTAAGACAGATAAACCTAATAATTTTATTGGGGATTGAACGATACTGCAACGCTTTTTAGCTCTCAATATTAAAGCTAGAGAAACTAAGTAAAAAGTGAACCCATTTCCTTCTCTTATAAGAAAATACATTAAAGCACCATGGTATCGTTTAATCCTCAATAAGCATCACAGCATCATATAAAATCAACTGAGAGTGAATGTGTTTTGAATGATTCGATGTTTCTGCTTTGTCAGAGTATTTATAATGATTCAATTGATGTGGTTATGTTTGCGTGGGATTTTTATTAGTGTTGCCACTTTATAAAAGTGTACATAAATATATGTAAGAGATCGTAGTATCATACGTATACTTAAGTTGACTGGATTAAGACTTAAAAAAACTCTATAAGAATAATATTTTGAGTCAATAGGATCATTTCAACAAAGAATTAATATTTTCTTAAGCTTCATTTTATAGTTGCAAATTCCAGTGAGTAAAATATTTTTGTACTATACATATTTGAATTCAATGTTGAGCTGAACCTGTTAAAACTTGTCAAATTTTTCAACAGACTTGTACGTTGTTTTAATAAGATATAAAAAGTTTATTCTTATAAGTATCAATAAAATATTTCTGTGAAGTAATACACAATATATTTATCATTAGCTGAATCTGTAATTTTTTAAAAACCTCATACAATATGCAAACAAGAAATTGTCTAATAATCTACTAATCTTTTTGATGAAAAAGTTGTGTGAGTGTAGATTATTGATGCCTTGGCAGGATTAGGTAAAGCGATAAAGTAAATATTTTCTTATACAAGTTGCAATGTAGTGACTATTTTATAATTAAGAAATTGTTTCATCTACATAAGATTTAAATATACATAACAATTATTGAGTTGACAATTTGATGGTAACTTCTATATTGTGACTTAAAATATAAATATACATATATTTACAACAAACAGTATTAATGAAAACAACTTCTGGTTTGTGATAAGGACTAGATATTTTTACTTGGTAAATAACTTTTCCACTTCATCAAGGCACGTTTTTGCTTCTTCAACTGACTCTTGATCTTTAAGTTTTTTTGCTAATCTCCATCCTTTTGCACAACATCTCTTAGCTTCATCTAAGAGACCTTTTTTCAATTGAACATTTCCTAAGTTTACATAAATGGAAGCTAACGATTCCATTGCTGGCAATTTTTCTCCTAAAAATAAAATAAAACTTTTAGTTTGAGTCATCCATAAAATAAAAATATGACTTAATAAAAATGTGCATTACCAATTTCTATGGCTTTATTCAAATAGTCAATAGCATCATCTAAATTTCCTTTTAAAAAACTTATAGATCCTAAATCATTCAAAAGTACTACGCTTTGTTCATGTTCTTCACCATTTAGTTTCACACATTGAACATATGCTTTTTCCATGTACTTCATTGCTTCAGTGTATCGTGACATTGAGAGCAATAAGTGTGCTAGGAAATCTAGATTCATAGCCCATAGTGTTAATATTTCAATGTCTTCCGTTCCTTTATCAACATGATCTTGCAAAATTTTCATGCACCATTGATATCCAGTTTCTGCATTGCTACAAATTTTGTAATGAATCAACTAATTTTCATTGTAATAATGCATGTTGATTTTTTGATAACTTACTCACTGTCCCCCTTGAGCTCCAAAATTTTAGCCATTTTCATACTCATATGTACAATTTTAATATCATCCTGAGGTGTGCCTTTGGCAATTTCTCTCTGCATCACAGATCTGAATAGCTTTTGAGCTTTGTCGTATTCTCCAACCTTAAAAGCCAGATTGGCCATTACATCATAAACATAAGTAATACCGTCTTCACTTTGAAGAGTTTGAGCTTGACGTAAAGCCAGATGTAACATTTGTTCAGCTTTTTTGAATTCATTTTTCTACAAATTACAAATACAAGTTTAATTTAAATAAAATGTCACTCAATAATCATAGATAGGAGCTTTATTCTGTATTTACCTGAATCATAAGTATGGACCTCTTGATAGCTGAAATCAATGCAGCTTCATCGGACTCCTCTTCTTTTTTACTCTCAAAGAGACCCAAAAATGCTAAGCTAGTTGCCAGCAACACAGCGGGTCTTTTGTTTTGACCAAAGCTTTGCCTGTAGCCCCCATGAAAATATTTTCTGTCAGAAACTACATCATTGCTGCATAGGCATCTCAAGTTGGCGAAATTTCGCTCGGCACCGAGAAGAGTCTTGGAAGCGTTGAATGCCGTCAGGGACGTCCTTACGAACGCGACGAGCTTGTGCGACATCATATTTTTCTTTTTATCATCCAAATGACACCGTCATGCATGTATATTCCATTGGTCTCTTTGCACACGAGTTTGTATGTAAAGATTTATGCAAAGTTATTGCACAGAGTTGAAAGAGACGTTACGCGCTGTGTACACACATGATATCACGTCACCGATCTGTGTCAACTGATGCGCCGATACAACACTTATAATAGATGCGTTATTGTTTAATTTTAGTCTAAACTGCTTGAACGAGAGACTGTGAACATGACCCCCTCCTCCTGGTGCTGCTGCTACTTCTACTACTTCTTTTTTACTCTCGTGAAAACATGCACGCGGCGACCAACGTTCCACTATATAATGTCACGATGCGATAGGTGTCTTTTTTTCACCGTGGCGTTAGACGTGCGAGCTTTGATTTTCAGTGTCAGTGCCGTGTGTCGAGCTTGTATATCAGTGAGCTGATCCGCGCGAGGTACGCGAGGACTAAAATTTTTTGACGTTACAATCGTTTTTTATCGAAAACGACGATGTCGACGGAAAAATTGGTCAGACGTCGGAGCAGTTCGAGGCGGAAGGTTAGTCGCACCGCTCGATATTTACATACGAGTCGTTGCATGTAATTTTTGGCACTTCTGCATGGTGCAATAATTCGTAACAGGTGCTTTATAATTCCTGGTTTTTGCGGTTAGCGATTTGGCTCGATGCTTGGAATTAACAACTAATCCTGCTCTTTCCCGTCAATTTACAAATATCGCGACGAGTGCGGGGGCGAAACAAAACCCTGCATCGAATCCAAACTCGGAAAAATGCCACTAAGCAACTCTTAACCCTTGCGCACGGCGTTTCGTGCACTATTTCCCTTTACAAACGTAAATAACGTGCGTTTTCTGCAAAAGCAGACGACGTACGCGCGCATGCGTACGTCCGCGAGCTGACTCCACAATTTCGCGCGCAAAAATATAAACAATAGCCGAGAATGTGGATTCGAGCGCGCGCGTGTACGGTATTGAATTTTTCATTTTGAAATTATACCGGTAGGTCGATTATCGCGAGGAGAGCATCCAAGTGTGTAACTGAAACAAAGCGGACAAAGGTCGTGTTTGCAGGAAAAATTTAATAAAAAAACACACGATGTACGTAATGTAACAGATATCGTCGAGACGCTCGTTTTGATATAATCCGATCGAAATTTACGCGTTGAATCACGTACAACGAGCGATGTTACTCTTTCTTTCTCTTCATTGCGTGCGCTGACTAGTCAGAGAGAATATGTAAACTTTTGCATCAACGCCATTTGTTCGCGCGCCCGACTGGAAGAAAATTGATAATTGTATAAAGTGTAATAAAAAAGACGAGGGAAAAAGTCGATTTTAAGCAAATAGCGCGGCGGCGGTGGCGGTCAAAGATATATACAGCTGTGGTATGACTAATTGCGCGGGCAAACAAGTCGTAAAAAAAATTATAACTTTGCGTCGGGGAGGAAGAAGAAGTAGAAAAAGAATCGTCGTGTTTTCCATGTTTTATCCGATAGATTTCAAGGACTCGGAACACGTGCAAACGATATCGAGACAAAAATTGATGTTGGTGGTCGTCGCCTCCTGTGTGCATGCAACACATGCTCGTCGACGTCTCTTGAGTCTATAGACATAGTGCATAGAGGATAGAAATATGTATTAACGTCGAATAAGTAATGGCATTTCGCAGAAAATTCTCGGCTTTTTGCCTCTTTTTCAAATATCTTGCCTCGGTTTAAATACTCGTTTATACAGGGGAGAGCAAGAGAATTATATAATATATATTTTTTTCTATAGATCTTTAAAAATAAGACTAGCGAGGGAGTGTACAATTACCCACGGTCAGGTCGAATAATTTCGTACTTCCGATTCACTGACGTTTCATCTTCCGCCGAATATCTGCCGACTTTTTATAATAAGAATGTGACGCGCGACTTTCTGCACGAGCGAGAGAAATGAATGGGAATGACACGCTATGCTTCAGCGCGAAAGAATCTCGCGCTACAGGACCAAGTCCGGTCTCCCCATCGCACAGTCACTTTTCTTATTCTTCTTCTTCATTTTTTCTCTCTCTCTTTCTGTCTCCAGGTATAATATCTTACCTGCGTGTCTGCATCTCTTGGGTTTTACACACGCGGCGCGTAAAATACTTAACGCAATATCGTGCAGCTCCGAAGTATCGATGCTGCGTTTGACAAATGAACATTTTACGTATTTTTATGGACTCGATGATATTTTTGGGAAAGTACCGCACAGGGTCAAGGTCGTGTCGCGTCGACGCTCGACGCGCACGTAATTCGCGTCTCGAGGCTCGTTCGTTCATTCATTCGTTCCTTCTTTTTTTTTTCATTCCCTTTTCCATAGACAATAGGTCGTTAAAAAATTACGTAAAAGAAAAAATCACGAAGATCGCGCGAGACGAAGCGAACAATGAGGCGTTGCTCGCGTTACGTGCCGTTGCCTGCGCGCGCCTTTTGATTATTCACATCCTAATTAAGCTCCAGGCTTTTCCTGCACGTAATGTTCGATATTTTATGCGTATATATACTCGAGTTACATCGATGCAAAAATAATAATAATAATCGTAATAATGAGAAAAAGGAAAAAAAGCCCGCTGCGAGTTTGCTCGTTTATAAAGTGTATATACATGTAATGTATATCGCTGCAGGTGAACGAAAATTAAACTTTATCGCAATCGCGCGCTTTTTGCAGATAACGAGAGGCCGCCGCCGCGTGTGCATTTATATTCATTAAAAATACAAGTCCGACACAGTACCGTTTTATTTTTTTCTGTTTATTCTTCCTTTTTCGGGTAAAATTTTATATCGATTTTACGGGTAAACATCGTCGCGAGGACAGCGCTCGCGCCACTTAAAAAAGCATCTCTCTCTCTCTTTCAGCTCTTTCCAGCGATATCAATTAAATCGAAATCCCGCGAATCAAAATAAAAAATAAGCGTAAAATGAAAAAAAAAGTGTACGATCCCAACGCGTGTGTGAGAAAAAAGAGACCTCGTAAAAATATGGGAAACGAGGTGTATTCAGCGCTTCGATCCTTTGTACGTAATAACGCTCGCAACAGCCTCGGCGTGGAATTAATATATATACGACTGTGGCGCGCGCGCGCGTTATTTTAATAAACGCCGATCGGAAATCGAACGGAAGCGTATAATAAGTTTCGCGACGCCAACGCGCGAGCGCAGCGCGGAGCTATTGGTGTAACGTTGTATATATGTGGCCGATCCGTATTATACATATACCGAACGTTGAGTTGCCGGCGCGGGCCGATTACCTTTTCCGATGACCATAAAAGTGTGCGACTCCGTGCGCAGCTCTGCACTTGTGTGCTACACGCACGCACACACGCTTCAACGCTATATATGTATTTATCGTTGTTATTATGTACTTGTATACGCACGCAGGCACACACATTTACGACTCGTTCAGTGGTGGTATACGCGATGTGCTGCCGCTGTTGTTGTTGTTGCTGTTGTTATTATGATGATCAATTTACCATGCGAAGCCTCCCACGGTGAAAGTTTTTCGCGCCGCGAGTTGCGCCTCTTTCTCCTGCGCCGCGCTTATTATACACTCGGCGCAGTATACCGAGCGAGTTTTGAATTCTCCCTCTCTCCGAGCTCTCTCTCTCTGGACGACGCACACACCACGTGCCGCCTCTCGTACGTACGTATACGTGTGCTATACGTACGTATACATACACACACACACGCAGACGGAGCGAGCCGCATTTGCTCCGACGCGCGCGCGGCTCGGTGTGCTGCTCGGCTCGGCGCGGGGAGCTCGCTCAGCCGTCTCGCGAGACTCGCCAGTTCAGTTTTAGATATACACTTGGCTCGCGTATAATATAATACACGCGCACACACCTTGTGTATATCGGAGATCGGGAGAAAGAGGGAGCGAAAGAGAGTAGTTGTTGTATATCGAGGAAGGGAGAGAGAGAGAGAGAGCCGAGTGAATGCTCGGCAAACGTGCGCGTCGGTGCATAAATAGCCAATAATTTATATACACACGGAGTGCAACCGATTTTCGATTCCCGATCATAAGTATATATAACGTCGCTGCCGTGAGTGCTGTGCCGCGGCCCGCAACGGACCGAGAGCCCGTATACTATCGTACATTATACGCGCACAGTGTAGTAGCGTGTATACATAAAACAGGTGTATTTTGTGCGCGAGGTTTTTTAAAAGCATACTCGAGTGTGAATCGCCTCTTATTTTTTTTTATCGCGAGTTAACTCGAAAGAAGAGCGCATCCGATCGCCTCTTTCATGCTGGTGTTACACGTTTAAAGAGCCGAGTGGGAAAAAGATGCGCCTCTTCCTGCCGCCGCTGCTGATGCTGCTCGCCTAAAAAAGCCCACGGACCCGTCAATCGATCCGCGCGGAGATTCTGCCTCAGCGATCCGCTTCATTATCATGGTACAGATGGTAAATCCCAGTCAACATTTTTTTTGGCCTCGTATCACACACGCTCACGCACACACACAAAATATTTGTACACAAATACTATATTCGCAACATTATTATATGTGTGCTCGAGGAGCGAAATTTTCAATGCCGAGCGCAGCAGTGAAGTGTACAAGCGTGTGTATAATATATCCGCCTCTGCTTATATCTGTGTGTGTATGTGTGTGTAAGTTTGTGCATGTGCATGTATGCTGCATGCAGCCGCCGAGAGACTGGACCGGTCGCAAGTGCACGTATAACGATCGGTGCCTGCCGCTGCTATTTAAGCCTTGATTTCCTCGTGTGTGCACGAGCGAGCGAGCGACGAGTCACTGCCGCCTTCGTAAGAGTAGTTTTATATAAGCTCGAGCGTATACAAAAAACGAGCCGAAAAATCCCTCGTATCTCTAGAGAGAGATTTAATATGTCGTTGTAGCCGAGCCGCGCGACCGGGTTATAATGCTACGGTGATTTGTTTATACATCCGATGTGTGTGTGTATTGTATGATCTATTTGGAATGGCCAAATTGAGTTTTCAAATTTCGGGCTGCTTATCAAGATGGGCCCAGATCGATAACGTCAACAAGCTCGAGTTCATCATCCGACAGCTCTGTCTCTCTTCCTCTCTCTCTCACACACTCTAGTTTGTACTCTATAATTTTTTTCCTCTCTCGCTTACTTATTTTTTGACACCTGCGACGATTATCCTTATCACCGCAGCTCGTTCGTTTACACGCAAACGCACTCTTAAATTCTTTATCTCGCGTAAAATAACAATTATTACACTGCGCGAGTACCTATCCTTTTTTTTTTTTCGCTGTTCACACGTCGCGCGCAAGGTGCAATTTCCTATAGTACGTTATATACGGTATACCGCTCGAAAAAAAAGGAAAGAAAATTGACATTCGAGCGCGTGGGTGGGTGTCTCGGGCGAGCGAGCGATGCGTGACAAAAGCATGTGTTATTATGCAGTTATGTCGTGTACGACATTTTTTGTTAACACGCAATTTCTGCTGCGTCGCGCGTCGTGTGCATACACAGACACATACGAGCATATATATATACGTGTGTGCGGCTGCTTGTATTTGTATTTTGAACACAATGTGATTTATATTTATGCAGCGAACGCGAGAGAGCTGCGTCGGCATGAATTAATCAAGCCCTCCTTACAGGCAAAACAGATACACAATACATTTATGCGCGGATAGAGCAATGGCCCCTCTTGGGAGCTTTCGTAATTGTAATGCGCGCGCGCGTCTTTAATAGAAAAAGCTCCCATTGTAATCGTGTTCGAGCGCGACAATGCGGGTACGAGGGATTTAAGTTGTATTAATTGTTGTCGTCGCTCGTCGAACAATCGATCAACGAAAAATTTCCAGCCTGCCTCCGGCCGGGCGCACAGCACGAGACATTGCACAAGTGTGCAAACGTATGGTACCGAAAAATTTGCTACTGTTATTGTTTTATTTTATTTTTAACGATCCCGGGAACACCTGCTTGATCGTGACTCAATTGGCAATCGTCACTTTTCTTTATACGTATCGATGCGAGATCGGGACGCGTTTCGTACGCACGCATCGCTTAGATATTTAGACGAGCCGTGAATCATGTATTCATATATCTGTGAAAATATTACAAACTCACGCGTAAATATTCATCGCGCATGTATGTATGCGAGCGAAATTCCGTCGCTATCGTCAATAATTCATTATATTACACTCTTCCTCTCGCTCGCGAAGTCATTAATTTACGACGATATTTATTAATTGTTTGCGATTGTGATTCATTGCCCCTCGCGGCGCGCCGCCGCTGCTGCTGCTGCTGCTGTGGCTTTAAAGCAGCGTCGAAAAAGCTCGCTCGCGAAATCAACCTCGTCGTTTGTACATATAGACTTACGTTTACAATTAGCCCTGACTATGACGTACGTAATACCTATTTGCGCCTACTCGAATGTACTCGTGCACAGACGAGTTAAAAAAAATCGATTGCTCTTAACTCGGGGCTTAATTCGTTTGAGTTTTTGCGTCGAAAGAGAGAGAGAGAGAGAGAGAGAGAGCAGGTCTGCACGTGCGCCACGTGCCTTCTCTGCTCACATTCGTTCCTCTAATCCCTTCATCTGACTCCCGTGTTTTTCTATATACATATCTTGTTTATTTATATTATTATGTACATTTCGCTCGGCCACTGCGTATGTGTGTACGTATACACACATAATTATCGAAACGCCCGTGTAATCTGTCCGCCTCTGTCTTACAAGCACATATATATATAGGAAGCGATAACCTCTTCGTACATTATAATGTGCCCCCGTTGATGCTCGTGCGTGAATTAACGAATATTATAATGCCGCAAGACTGTGTTTGTGTGAGTGAGTGAACACGCGCACACACAGCACGGTATGCAATCGTCGATGGAACCGTATAGCTGCCGCTAATCAAACGCTTGAAATCGGTTTTTTCTTTATAACTCAATTTTTTTTTGCACGCGCGCACAGCTTATCGCCGGCAGATAGCTCGATCCACGCATGGGATTGTACGAAAGCGACAAGTTGTCATCGCTGACGTAACGTCTGCAAAAATCGTATAGGTGCAGAGGCAAGATTGAAAATAGCACTTACGTACTAGTTTTGTTTTGTTTTTTTCGACGTGAATTTTATCTACTCGAGTTGAGTACAGTGAGCTCGTAAAAAAAAAAACGAGTGAGCGAGCCTGATAAGCGCAAGGGTATAGAAATTAAATCAGTAATAGACAAGGGTCCTTTTTTAAATGAATTTATCGCTATTTTTTCGAGCACATTACTTTTCAATTGAATTTGTTAATTTACTCAGATCTTAATTATTTGTCAAATTTTGTTGAAATTTTACCTCTAACAGTTCTTCTTTACATAGCTACTTTAATTTCCAATATGATTTATTTTGATTTTTAGCTTTTTCGTTCCATCAACAGATGGAGTATTACAAACTCGCAAGTGGCAAAACATTTTCTAACGAGCATATATTTTGGATGACTTTATGTGATATATCATTGTAAATTTTCGCGGCTACTTCAAATTCTTCGTAATTTTTCAATTCTAAAAGAAAACACATGACGTTTATCGATGCGACTTCAGCAAACGCACATGAAAGCCAAGATAACGAAGAAGATTGGCCTTTTTGAAAAAAAAAAATTGCCTATGCACTATAATGGCCAGTCGCTCGGGATGACGCGCCGTCATCGTCGTGCCTGCCCGTGGCCTCTTCTTCTTCTTCTTCTATATCGTACATTATAACGCCGGGCCGATGATTCACTCTTACTATACGCTCAATTTCGCGCGTTATATTACGCATGCACATGGACATCTCTGCTGCTTCTTACGATGTATATACGGTGCGCGTATATAGTCTCCCATCGTCGAGCGAAAATCCTCGTCTCGTTTATGAATTTGTTTGTGGCCTGCGTGCAGTGACGTAGTTTCGGACGTCGATCGGCTCGCATATTATATACATTGTTCCACATTGTACTATTTGTATACGCACGCATGGACGAATATCCTATACACGCGTTTCAAATAGTTCATGCGTACATACAAAAACAGCGCGACACATGATTGATTGGCCGTGATCGATTGTTACGATCGACGTATACAGTAATACCGACAATTACCATTTCGAGATCTCGCGGCTAGACGTCGTATGTGTATGCATAAACCTACATCGCTTATTTAATATCGATTAATCGTCGACACGCACGAATTTCGTGTCAAGGCGAGGTAGTTGCGGTTGGTAGTAAAATTCTCAACTCTTTTTCGCGGGTATGTAGTACCTATCCCATTTCATAAAGGCACGCATATATACATCGGTTCAAGCTCGCGACTCCGTTCTTGACCTCGAGGCTCTCTCTCTCGATTGCGCGCGCGTGAAAAAGAGCCTCGCGACCGGATATCACATTTATTACCGTAAAAAATATCACGCGCCGATCTCTCTGAATCATATATATGAAATTTGAATATCGGGTCAGCTCGAATTTTCTATACAAATCGACCGTATCGAGATATATACAATATATATAAATGCCATTAAGTCGAAAAATCGTCGTCCAGCCACCCACGCACGCACACGCGTCCAAGTGTATATAGCAGCAGCAGCAGCAGCAGCCGAACGCGAGGGAGAGCAAAACAAAAAGACCTCGATGGCGAATTTTATCATCGATCGATAGCCGAGCTCCGAGTCGCCGATGTAGTTAACATTCACTAACGGAGCTGTTATATAGTCTTGCGCAACGGTAGCAGCAGCAGCAGCAGCAACAGCAACAGGCAGCACAGACACACGGGCGTACGTGGAATATTTTCGCTGCAGCTACATCATTTCACGCGCGCGCGCACCTTTTTTTTCTCCTCCCGGCGGCGCACATTGCACATTGTACATTACGTATACATTATTATATCGGTATGATATTATAAAATCGATCGATTCGCCGCGGTCGAAAGCTCGACGGATGAATCACCTCCTGCGCCTGTGTGTGCAGTCGTAGTAATAGCGTAAATCATACGTACGATTAATGTTATACGGTCGAAAGAAAGAAAAAAATCTGCACGCAGCGTGTGGCGGTGAAAGCGCACAGTACGATAGGACACTTATATGCAAATGAGCTTGGCGCGAGCGTGCAGCGGTGTGCGTGTACACGTGTTTCGAGTGTCGCGCAAAAATTTGACGTTTTAATATCGTCTTTTGACTGCTGCTGCTTTGTATACAAGGCAGCTGTTATTGTTTATGTATCGGCGAGCGAGAGCTGCCTCTTAATTTATACGCCAATTTGATCAATGCGCATTTTATGCGTAAGCATAATAGAAAAGACACGAGATATCGCCGAGAGCCGCGCGCGCAAATGTGTACGTTCACCCGTATTATTATGTGCTTCGATATGCGCGCTCCCCGCAGCTGATAAGAAGTGTGGAAGCGAGCGAGAAAATGCATATACAGTGCTGCTGCGGATTTTAATACAACGTACACTCGGTACGCGTATTTGTACGCAGAGAAATTGATTCAGGATCGCGGCAGCAATTGCGCGCGTAATCGAAAGAGAGAGAGAGAGAGAAAAAAAAGAAACGAGATTAATTCAAGGAAGGAAAAAAAATGATTGGCCGCGGTACGGAGAGAAGAAAGGACGCTGCTGCTGCTGCCACTTCTAATCTATTATGTTCTCCTCGACGTCGAGACGTTGCGCGCTGCGCGCACACAAATACGCGATAATTAGACGTTTTATGCCTCGCTCTATGTAAAAGGTCGACGGCTGCTGCGGCCGACCGACCACGACGACGAGAGACGTCAATATGTATACGGCTTGTGTGTGTGTATATATTGTGAAAAATCAAGCACGCGGCAGCTGTACGAGTTATGTCAGACCTCGAGAGCGAAGCGTACACTGGATGGCAATTTTTACTTCCTCGAATATACGTATACACGTACGAAACGTACCTCTTTTCTTTCTTTTTTTCGCTATTGAGAGCGAGAAGGAGAGATAGGATCTGTACGGCGCGGATCTTTTTACATTTTGTCCTCTGCGTAAACGACGATATTGTGCGCGTATTTGCGGCTAACGGCCGCACACACACGCTCATTATTATTTATTATTAAATATACGACACGACGCGCGGACGAGACGTCGTGACAATTGTGACGAATTGGCCGTGGGACCGATTCGTATATACCATTAGCTCCTAAATCCATCATATTCTCGTGCGGGCGCTTATGGCTCTTCTTCATACAACAGTGCGCGGCTGCGGCCGGAATATCAATTTAAAGGTTTCTCTCTCGTGAATATATATATTTCTTTGCTCGTTTGTGTGCAACCCCAAGGCCTCCTCGAAACGACGACGACGACGACGAATGTAACCGCTGTTTTCTCGGAGATGCGAGATTACGCGCGTATTTATCCCGCGCAAAGTTAGAGAGAGCGAGAGAGAGAGAGAAATACCAGTTTTTTTTTCATAATTACGGAACAACAAAGCGCTACTGCGGGAGTAGTACATGCAGATGCGTCTTTTCTCTCGCATCCGCGATCGACGTGCGATCGAGCTTCGACTACGTAGCGACTTTTAGCGAACGAGTTAATAATAGCCGCGCAAATGGAAAATCTCGACGAGCTGCACTCTCGACAAGGTAGCGAGAAGATGTGAAAAAAAAACAAGTCGCGAATGATACAGCTCGGCGCGCGCGATTATTGCAGCGTCGAGAGAAGACAATCTTTTGTTTGTGTACAGCTTCGCGCGGCACGTGAGATTATATACTTTATCATGTACGCAGTTCGGCATTTGGTTGATTGCGAATTCGAGAAATATAAAAAGTTTCCGCGATTCGTCCCCCCAGCTTCGACTTGTTGCATCGAACCACGTCTCCTATGTCCAGTCGCGCGTGTAATTAGCTAATGGCCTAATCGGATCTGCATTTAATAAAAATATATGAAATATGAGCTAGCTATGCTGCTCGGCGCATCGACACACATTCAAGAGAGGGAGGCCATCAGACACGTCCAGCTTATAATAATTCGTCCGCGCGCACGAAAATTGCTGCTGCCTGCGACTTGCCACTTGTTGCGCAATCGGCATGCAGCACCGCTGCACAGAAGAAAAGAGCGAAAAATGTCGTTGCGCCTCTCTTTCTCCTATGTATACACACACACGTTCGACGTTGTGTACGTATACAATTACGAAACGCAGCGACGACGACGACGACGACGACGATTCATCAAGCGCACAAAACAGCAGCAAAGCCAAACATCGTACGTACGCGAGGCTGATAGTAATTCGGACAGGTCTTTTTTATTTTTTGTTATACACGTCGCTCGCTCGCGAGTAATGCGCAGCTCTCGCCTTAACATTATTCTTTTCGTGTATTCTATGTAGCGAGATTCGCGGGGCTTAGTGCAGCCGAGGAGTTTGCGAAAGGTTTATTGCACACACACACACGTGTATACGCGTACAAGTATATATGTAACGAGTGGAGTACATTAAAAAGAATATCTTCAATTTGAGCAACAGACGCTATCTTTCGTCATCTTTTGTCGACTTTTCTGGCAGCCGGGCGCCCCTTCCAACTGCATATTTCGTATCTACGATATTCCACTCGAGATGTTGTTGCATTCGTGTATAAATTACTTGAGTTCATAATAGAGCGGGTGCCCCTCCGCCTCCGGGCGACGTATACCGAGTACTCTTACAAGCACACACATTTGTTGCTGCTGCAACATCGTTTCACGTGCACGTACATGGCCGACAATTATTATTGCTTTTACGAGAGGAGTTTAACGCATCTCGCACGAGCGCGCGTCAATCATTTCGTTATATATGCATATATACTGCGCGAGTATAAAGTATACGAGAGGATCGCTAAAAGCTCGTGGCAGAAAATCGACTTTGTCACGTATTAATAACTATAATGCGCCGCGCGTTTATTGTAGGCGATTATTTAGAGCTCGTCGAAACTTAAATATTATCTCTCGTCTCGTACAATATATAAGCATATATGGGTGTAAGACGATCGTCGACGCCACGAGAGCTCGCATAATATTATTGGCTTGTAAAACACATTCCATCAAAATATATATCTCCAATGTGTATTATATATGCTGCATAAAAATATTTTTCATTTTTTATTATTATTATTCGGCGCGCGATGTAAAAGACGACGAGAAATAAAATAAAACAAGCGCATCAACATTAAAATGTACATTTATATAAAGTAACTCATTTCTTTTTTTCGTATTCGCAGCATACCCTATCGGGAGCGCAGATAACGACGTCGGCCGTATCTTACGAAGTCGGCGGTGGCATAAGAAATCCAGCCTGCCAAGATGACGACTCGTACACGACCAATACCGTGAGTATAACATATTTGAATCCAAATACACACACATTCGCGCAAAATTCGGTACACCTCGCCGCGTGCATAATGTAATCGCGTATACTACTACTACTTGGCGTTCGCGATTTAAAAGGACGAAGCGAAGGCGAATTTCGCACGCATAAACGCCTCGCGCGAATGCGTATACCGTCGTAATGATGTATAAATTGAAAGGCTTTCAAAGGAGAGTCGCTCGCTCTCTTACGTTGCCGCCGCCGCCGCCGCGCGATGGATTGCTTTATTGCAAATTGCATCGTGCAGGTGTATTTACGCGCGAATATATTGCCAGCTGTAAATTGAATGCCATTATTTTAAGCATTTTTCTCGCATGGGAATGAAAAAATAAAGAGGAAAGAGGCAAGAAGAACAGACATACCTCGACCAATAAGGCAATAAAGTAGCCTCTATCGCACGCGTTTCTCGTTGCGGAGCTCTGCACACAAACATCAGAGAGAAAGAGAGACGTGCAGCGGCGAGTTTGCGAATACGTAATCCTTAAAAAACGCAGCGTGTGTCTGTTTGTATCGCGCTTTAAATTCAATTCGACGAATCGCCTCGTGGCCGTGTCACTGGATACGTCCTTTAATACGAAAGATACGCGACGATCGCTCGCGTCTGACCGCGTGCGCGAATTTGCAATATCGTGTATATGCCCGACAGTGATAACGCAGCTGCTCGGCTTCGTTTTGCTGCCCCGCCAATGACACGTGTCCTGAGATTTTCGGTTTTTCGCGGCCTGTGGGCCAGTAATTTACTATATTTCGGGCTTTACCCCCGTTAGCTTAGTATCCGTAAGCTCCAGAAGTGAGCGACTTTAGGATTTTTTCCCTATTTGTATTGTCAAGATTTACTTTCATCAAAGGTGTCACTTTTGATTATGAACTTTTTAATTTCGTCAACAGATGGAGCGCTGTAAACTCGAAAGTGGCAAAAAAATTTCCGATCGTTATATATTATACCTAATCATTATGTGCACCAGTAACAAGCATAATTTCTATATATTCAAAAAAAATTTTGATTATCATCGTCAGATATCCACTGGTATATAAGTTAGAGTTAGAATTAGAGTTTAGAGTTTATTCTTAAGTAGCCAAGGACAGAAATCCTTCATGGTTCATACAGCTACTAAGGTACAGCAAGTTAGGCGCTGTACGCGTCAGCAGCCAATAGCACAATACAACAGCATACATTGAATATAATAAAAAAAGTATAAGTATTGTCAAGTAAAATGTAGGAGCTTTTTACACGTTAGTTTTTATATTGTGATTACACTGCTTTATTACCAGACATATATGATATCTATATGATGTTTTAACTTCAGCTTTTTTCGAGAGCTACCCATGCATCAGAGAGAGCTTGCAAACAATTTCTTGAGCGAGGCAGAACATGCGGCTGTTAATTTTTGCCTCAATTCAGTCGCAAGTCGTTCATTTTTTGAAAGCTCGAGCTGCGTGTAACGCGTTCACTTCTCTAGCAAGCGAGCAGTTAATTAAAAGCGCGCGCGCAAATCAGTACGCGAATTAAAGACATTTCGTTTATTGGGTGCAGCAGGACAATTTAATTTCATAAGCAATCATAAAATCATACCGACGAAATAATTCGGTCACGAATCGATCTCTCACGTCAATCAATTCGGAATCTCGGTCGCGAGTCGATTCTATTCATTGTTTTTTTCCCCCCTTTCAATTTTGAATAATTTTTTTCTCCTTCATCGCCATCCCGCGAAGTCATATCGCGATTTCGAAATCGTATCGTTGGCCGAGGTCGCGCCTGAAGTGCTTACATACGCATAATACGCGCAATAAACCAAGGATCTCTTTGTATATTTACTTACTCTATGTATGTAGTACGCGTCTTTTGTATACTCGAAGCAATTGGAAAAACAATATGTGCCGCGCACGAATGTCGCAGCGTGTCGCACCACGTCTAGTGCGGATATATTAATTTATTTGAAATGTCAAATTACGCTGGCGCCAAGAAAATTTCTCTCTCTCTTCGTCTCTCTTCTTCGAACGCTTACTGTACGCAACGGATTGCACGATGCGTATTACATATTATCACGTCGTGTACGCATTGTATCGGGCATACTCGGGCGCGTTAAAAAAAAAAAGGAGAAAACGATACGTCCTTTTGTTTACTTTTTCCATTTCCGACTAGCAAACGAAGGGGGGAGAGGGTAGAATTACTTTACACATCGGATATATTAGTGTAATACTCTATTCTTAAATCGAGTTTAACGAGGCGCGTCGAAATATCCGTATACAAAAAGGAAGAGCGAGAAAAAGTGTATGTGATTCTGGATGCTGCGGGGCACGTATAGTATACCTCTACGTAACGATCTGTAAAAAGGGTTTCTTCTCTCGCCTCGGTGGAATTTCTTTTCTCTCTCTTCGCTAACTCCTCCGCAATTTAATCGCTTCCTGCTTTTAATTTTCCTTCCATAATGTATACGCACGCGACTTGAATACTCTTTTCTCTCTTCTCCTTTTTTTTCCTCCTTCCTCGCGCGCGCGGATGTCGCTCGGCTGATTTATGGCGTCAGCTTTCGGGCCCGAGCTATTTTCGTCAAACTCTTATGTGCTCGTTGACACCTATATAGATAAATATTACAAAGTATCGACGTATAGATGGGCCTATTGGCGTAATATTATAATCTCGTATTTATACGAGACGGCACGAATACATTATAAATCAGTCAACTCTCGAGCTGCGATCGACAATCAAGTATATCATATCGTTCGGGAGAAGCCGTTCGATTTAAGACCCGCACGATGCACGAGCAGCTTTGATTCGTGCATCAGCGCTGCGACGCTCGCTCAAGGAGTCCGGAATTAATCAGAGCCGGTAGTGGGTGGGATTTTTTTTTTTTTTGGGCGCGAAATAATATTTTTCCACGGCGCGCGCAAAACAGTTGTACACGCGCGCCTTCGTTTCGTTTCGTGGGTGTGCTCATATTTTTCAAAGCAAAAATAATATTGAAATCATCGTTCGTCTCGTTGTACCACCCATAACAGAGTGAGTCACAATTTCATCGCGACGATCGCACGACGAGCTTCGACGATCCGATAAAAGCTCGCGTAATAAGTGCGTGTATCGCACTCGGATCGGCTTGAAAAATTGCCGACTGTCTGAGTCGTATTATATAGTAGTACGTCGCGTGTGAATCACTCGGTGCGCGCGCGGGAGCCGTTCGCGCACTCGACTCGTCGAGAGTCTGCGCCGCGCAGGTGTCAATCCCTTTTTATTATAATATACGCGTACTTGTTGATTATAATACAAGGCGAGCTCGCGAATCGCTTGGGTTTTCACATGCCACTCAACGTTCGAGTTGTGTCTCGCTGTTGTGTCGTATATGTGTGTAATCGCTATCGGCCGTAATAGCGCGAGAGAGAAAGAGAAAAAAGAGAGGATAAGTGCGCGTCGCGACGCCCGACGCGCTTACAACTGCGCTGTGAAAAACAATTGGCTCTGCGCGCGTTACGCTCTGTACAAGTGTCATATATAATACGAGTGTGTGTGTACGTATATTGTAATGCTTGCCCGTGTGCTGCACTGACAGGAAGAAATTACACGATGGTAGGGACACGCGTATTCCCGCGTAAATATATAAAATAATGTACTTTGCAGCGGCGTGAAAAATGCGAGAATCTCGATTGACATTTTTCTCTCTCTCTCTCCATCTCTCTATCTCTGTCAGATCTGTCTATACACGAGCTCGTGAGAATCACTCGTGCGAAATTCCACTCCAAAGTGCCCGTCGAGCATTTTTATTTTTAATTATTGTTTCTCTCGAACTATATGTATATGCTCGCGAGGGTCATCATCGTTAAACTCGAACGAATAGACTTTGTATATTGGTAAAAATAGATGCTAACCGAGAGATAAGAGCGAAAATCACCATACGCGCGCGCACACGGGAATAATAAAAATGTTACGCGTCCGATGCGCGTCAATTCCGATCGATCGATCGATTTTCGTCAGAACCTGCCGCTGCCGCCGCCTCGTCGTTGTTGTTGCTGTTGTGCGTCTGTCATTCGAGCCCGCACGAGACATCTTCTATATACTATATAACTCTCGGCGCGAGCTTTCGGGGCTACTACGCAATAATAATAACGATGATAATAACGAAAGGCTATAAAAGAGAAGCCTTGGCCGTACATACCGATATACTGTGACCTTATGCGTGCGTTGTAGCATTATGCGTGCGTGAATGTATATATATGACGATCAACTCGCTCTGTTCCGGTCCCCTTTTGCAGAGCTCCGATTATAAAAATGAGGGTTTCGATCGAGTCGCTCCTCTCTCTCTCTCGTTGATTCTTTTCATCCTCATCATCGTCGTCGTGCACACGCATGTGCGAATAATAAAATGTATATTTGTGCGCGTCGAGATGTCAGGGTCCGACTACTAAGCGGGGGGAGAGTGATTTTTAGCCCATATTATTTTCTTTTTTTCTTTCGAGCCCACACGTACATAAAGTTACAATATTTACTCTGGCCGCGAGCTCGTAAAATTTGCTCTACCCCCATTGTTTTCCGCTCGGGCGTTTAGTTTACAAAGTACGCACTTAGAGCTTGCTTTAATACACACACAAACACACTTATAGATGGAGGCTACACAGCCATAGAGAGTCATAAAGTTTATGTAAGTGTGTTTCCCTGGACTCTATAGCAGCAGCATAGCTGCACGTGCGTGCATGTGCCACCTGGTCGGAGTGCACATATCGTATGACCAATCGCAGCAGCCGCTCGCTTGGCCATTCGTCGGATGACGTCGCCTCGCGTATATAGCTTTTATATATTCGTCGCTAAACTCTCGGTGAGAGAGAGAACGAGTTTTCGAAAGGATAGCATTCATTTATTACAAGCGCAGTGGCATTTTTGCGAGATCTCTCGGACTCGGACTCGCGAGCCTTATCCAAACTCTCATTACACGCACTCGACGCGCTGACAGTGCGCAATGCAGCGAGTACGAG